TGATGTCCGGTACGGTTTCCTTTACCATGGTTCTAATGAGTACAAAATTTTACCATTTTGATTTCATCAATTATTTTTACTTTCATTCTAAAGAACCGTGCACTTTCACATTTCATTTCAAACCGATGAAAATACTATTTTTTTCTTCTTCTTGGAATTGACGAAAACTAAGACAGGACAGCTACGGCCAGGATTAACTAATTAACCACTTCCAAGCCATGCAGTATCCGTAGTTTACGACACGCGGAATATGCTTAATTATCTAGGTAATTACACATTATTAAGGATAAGCGCTCAATATATATTTTTTTATTATTAATTTGACTTGTAAAGGTCAGATTTTTATTCCCGTATCTTACTGTCCGTTTCGGAATATTTTTTTTCACAGTATGCGAATGCGACCAAATAGATAATAGTCCCGCCCGCTTTTCTTGCGTGATTTCCGGCTATGATTGACCCGTTGACTAACCAACATCAAAGCAACTTTAACAATCATCAAACTTTTTTCACGGTGGCCGGCCGGCCAGCTGGGAAGAGATAAAAATAAAATAAAATAATTGATGTATTGTACGTACGTACCGACGGTGGCAGATTTGAAAGTGGTGAACCCGTCGACGACGCTCCTGCTGCCGGTGATAATGGTGGTGGCTCTGCCATCACCAACGAACATAATGTTGGTCTTCGACTTCACCACCTCCACGTTCTCCCTGTACACTCCCGCCTTTATCCTTATCACATACCTCTCGCTGCTCTTGTTCGGCGCCGCCTCCACCGCCTCCCCCACCGTCACGTAGTCCCCGCTCCCGTCCCCCGCCACCGTCACATTCGCCGCCGCCGTCTTCACCTGACACCATCCAACAACAACATACCATATATAATAAATAAATGCCCAATCTGCTTCTACGCTAAACTTAAAAAAAAAACTAATACTTTATTTATACGCAGTGGCGGAGCCACATTAAATTCAGAGGAGACTATAACCCCTCTCAACTCAAAATTACTAAATTTTGTGAAAAAAAATTATTATAAAAAAATTAGTTAATAAGATCTTTTATTAGTTTGAATTCTCTGAGCGTAGATTTTTAGCGGTCGTAGTTTAGATTCCTACATCGGGCGACTGCAGCAGCCTCCTATCTCCGGCCGACAACCACTCCGGCTGCTGCTGCTCCTCCTCGTCCTCCTCGACTCCGGCCGCCTCGATATCGGCGTCGGTCATGTTCCTGATCATGGCGAGGACGTTGCTGCACATGCGCTCCACGTGGACCTGCCCCTCCAGCAGCTTCTCCCGGACCCGCCGGTCGGCGCCGTCGTGGGAGAAGCCGTCGAGGCAGGTCTCCTGGTTGGTCATGGCGGAGCTCAGCAGCGTCTTGAGGTCGGCGGCGTGCCGGTTCAGCGACTTCCTCCTCCTCTTCTTCTTTTCGTGCGGGTACCGGCTCATCAGGTCGCGGAGCGCCACGTGGAGCTCGTCCAGGGTGGCGTCGATGGTCTCGAGGCAGTCGTGGAGCGCCGTCGTCTCACGCCGGCTCAGCCTGCCGCCGGCGGAGTCGATCAGGCTCTCGACGGCGAAGAAGTTGCGCTGGACGGCGCGGCAGGTGATGTTGATGGACGCCTCGATCACGTCCTTCTGGGTGGCGAGGGCCTCGGCGGATCCCGGGACGGCGGCCGCCACGGCGGAGAAGCAGAGGTCCGGGAACCTTGTGCTGCTGCAGGCGGAGCGGAGGACGGCGTGGTGGGCGTGGATTTGGGGTGTTGGTGATGGGAGATGGTACTGGTTGTATTCGGTAGTGCTGGAGTTTGGAGGGGCGGCGGCGGCGGCGGAATTATCTACGCCGGCGGCGACAGTGCCGATTAGGACCAGTACGATTGGGAATATGGAGTGAATCATTTTTTTTTCCCCCAACAATTTAATGGATGTTGGCAAATGGCAACCACTCTACCGTATCATGACAGGGAAAAGAGACGCGCATATAAATAGACAAGAGAGGAGAATTAAACAATATTGTCATTTGTTTCATTTGCAATTTTGCATTTTGTTTTTCCCACCGAAAGCCAAAAAGAAATATGGCGTATATATCAAATAACCAATTAGCTAGCTGTGGTTCACTCATTTACTAGTCACTGTAAAAAAAAAAAAAAAAAATCCAGAAAGAATTTCATTAGTGAGCAAAGTGGGTGTTAACCCAAGGAAGATCACATACAAGTGAGGGACGTAAAGGTAAAAGCACACTCACCAAGCACACTCACCAATTAGCTAGCATGTGGTCATAACCTCATAACCACATACAAGTGAGGGACGTAAGTTACATGTCATTACTATTGCATAGAGCTGGCGGACGGTTTTCCGGTTAGCGGCTAACCGGTCGGTTTCAACCGAACTGATCGGTTTTCGGCTAGCCGAAAAATCGGTTTCGAAGAGGGTGGTCGGTTGGCGGTGGGGATTATTAGGGGGCCGGTTAGCTGACTAACCGGGGTCGGAAACCGGCGGTTAACCGGCTAACCGACCCCTGCCCTTCCACTTCATCTCCCCCTTCTCACCAGTCACCACCGACCAGCCCTTCTCCCTTCCTCCTTCTCCTCTGTTCTCTCTACGAAACGAACCAGAGGGCAGAGACCCCTAAATCATTCCTTCCCTCTCCGCGATGCCTTCTGAAATCAGAAACCCCAAAATCCCCAATTCCAAAATCCCTATCCCCCAAATTTCCCCATTCCCCCTCTCTCTCTAAACCTTCATTTCCTTCTTCCCATTCCCCTCTCTCTCTCTACAGCTCCTCCCCATTCCATTCACATGACTCGTCCATTCAGACTGTTGGATTCGGTGAGCTCCTCGCCGACAACGACAGCCGGGGACTCCTCCGAGCCACCCGCTCCGCCGGTGGACTCCGACTTCGTCGTCATACTGGCCGCGCTCCTTTGCGTCCTGGGCCTCGTCGCCGTCGCCTGCTGCGCCTGGATCCGCCGCTTCTCCTCCGGATCCGCCGCCGCGGCGGAAGGCGGCAAGGATCCGCCGGCCCCGAGCTCCTCGCAGGCCAACAAGGGGGTGAAGAAGAAGATCCTCCGCGCCCTCCCCAAGCAGACCTTCTCCACCGACACCGCGGCCAAATTCTCCGATTGCGCCATCTGCCTCGTCGAATTCGCGATCGGGGATGAGTTCCGACGATTGCCTGGAGCTGGGCCGGCGTGGAAACGTACTCGGCGACGGCGGGTTTCTCTGGAAAGGAAGAAGAGAATCGAGAGAGAGTAGGGAGAGAGATAGGTTAGCGGCGGCCGGCGGGTTTCTCTGGAAGAAAGGAAGAAGAAGAATCCAGAAGTGAGAGGGGTTAGGAGTGAGTGGTGCAGCATATTTCCTTCTTTTTTTTTTTAGAAAAGCTACATTTTCCGGTTGGCCGGCTAACCGAGCCTTAAACTGAAACCGACCGGTCGGTTGGCCGGCTAACTGTGACACACCTCACGGTCGGTGGTCGGCAGCTATAGGGACGGCTCGGTTTAACCGATAACCGGGTTTTCGGTTAAACCGAAACCGACCGACTGCCACCCCTACTATTGCATACATACATGTAGAAAGGTTCTTAAACCATTTTTAAAAAAATGTGTGGATCCATGGCCAAAATCCTAGGTAGCAATCTAAGCACAAAATAGTTGAAGATCATACCCCATCATACCTTCAAACTATTAGCTTTGCCTGTAGCTATGTGGTTATCTACTGATATTGTTGATGATCTGCTTACACATAACATTGTTAGTATTGTGGTATATGATCCACAATTGGAGCTCTCCAAGCAACTCGAGTTATTGGGATCAACTATTTCTTGACATGGTATCAGAGCCTCTGTGACCGAGAGGTCTTGTGTTCGATTCCCGATGACCCCATTTGTTAAGCACATGGTATTCTTGTCTTCAGACCTGTGCATACTTCAAGCCCTTGTGAGTGGCTTTCGTTTGAGGGGGCGTGTTAGTGTTGTGGTATATGATCCACGATTGAACCTCTCCCAACAACTCGAGTTATTGGGATCAACTGGTTCTTGACAAACATAAGCAGAGTAAAAGAGGGTCAACTCTCAGCTGAGTGAGAAAATCATCGCATCGTGAGTTCACAATAAAGCATACTCATATCATACACCTAACAAAGAAGCCAAAATACTAGGATCAGACCTGGTCCATCCCAACATCCTAATATGTAAGAGAATATACCACCTTGAATTATGCATATGTGTCTTATCATGTTTTAAATATAGACGTCTGATTACTCTCATACTATTAAATCTCCCGGAAATACATACCAAATATCCCTCAGGCTGTGGTCATATCTAACACCAATGCGGGCATGGTTATGAATGATTATAAGTCAACACCACGTGAAAGGTGTGATGGTAGCATAACGTTTGATAATAGAATAATAACAACATGGAAAGTCCTAGTTACTAAGTAAACAGGGGACTACTAGGCTTACTATACGCCCGATAGACTAAATATGCCTAGTAAGTAGGGCTGGTTATTTGGTCCCGGACTGTTTGGTTTTACCCAAAACTGGACCGTATAACCCGGACCGGGACCGGACTGGGATCGAATAGCAAACAATGCAATCTCATATTCGGGCTTAGATTTGAGGTAAAAAACCGGATAAAGACCGGATAAGAGACCCTCAACACCTAAAATCAAGATAAAATTGGGACCGTACCGGATCAAGACCGGATTGTATCCAATCCAATCTTTGGTCCTTATATTCCCAAAAAGAACGGACTGAGACCGGATCAATTTGGTCCAATTTCACCGGACCGGACCGTATACCACCCCTACTAGTAAGTAAGTAGGTCGATTTAGATTTTAGACCAAAACCTACACAACCCGCTTGTTGCTAGGTATAGCTTGTGTAGCTTAGGTCCAACAAAGAGTACTCAGGTCGCCCCAAAATACGGTACCACTACTCTGTGGGGCTGGAGATTCCCTATATGGGCCGAAGTTCCCTCTCTTCTCTTCGGCCCATTTGTGGCCAAGCCTGGTGCCGATGCTGCCGCGCTGGACTCCCGCCCGCCCTGCCCGTCTTCTTGCTCGTAAGCGGCGGGAGGGGTTTAATGTAGGTTTTGGCTCGCCGACGGAATACGATTTGAATTCGTTGTTTAAGCACAGGTAGAAGGAACTTCCTCGTCTCCCCAGTTGCAGCTGCAGATTTCCAAAGCGCCAAACGGGAAAGCAGCTCACGCAACGAATTTGCTTGGGTGACTTAAGGTGCCGTATTTTCTCCTTTTTTTTCTCCCCATTCTCACCCGCTGAATTACGTCCGCGTTGCTCCTCGAAGCCAACCTTCACTCTGCTTCCTTCTCGCCTAAAGATTGAGTTCTTCCGTTACTCTTGTGTAAAGCCTAGTTTCTTGACAGTGCAGCTATGGTGGATTTTTCATTTATGTGTCTAATTGTGTGATTTTCACTGTTCCGCTGGTCGACGAATTTTGACATGGGTTACGTGCTGTATGGTTTGTGCAGGTCGGAGAGCTTTATTCAGCAATCAATTTGCTAGCTTGCTTAGAAGTAGTTCGATGGGTAGGGATAATAGTAATTTCTACAACCAGGGTTCAATTGGGAAGGGTGGGAGAAACAAGGTGAAAAATTCACTGAATGCAGACCCACAGCCAACCGTTGTCAGGTACTTGAAAACGGGATGCTAAATGTAAAATGGTGAATGTTTCAGTATCCTTGCGCGTTTTCGACCCGTTTCTATGATTAGCTTGCCTCTTACTAGAACACTGCTTCTTTCGTAGGAATCAAATTGACCCGGAAACAAAAACATACTTCTCGGAGATTGCAAACCTTTTCGAAAGTAGTGAGATTGAATTAGAGGAGCGGTCAGTAATATGCAGCAATGCTATTGAAGAAGCTAAAGGGAAAGAATTTGAGCTCGCAACTGATTATATAATAAGCCATACTATGCAAGGCCTCCTCGAAGGATCCGATGTGGACCACCTCTGTGGTTTTCTCCGAAGTTGTGCAGGATTGTTCCCTATGATCGCTACTGATAGATGTGGTTCTCATGTGGCCGAGACAGCACTCAAGTCTGTAGCTACATTTGTTCAGGAGAATGATTACTATTCACTTTTAGAAGATACTCTAAATTCCGTATGCCAGGTATGAATTAGACTGTATTTCCTCCATCTATATTCCTGAGAAAACACGAATTTTAGTGATTTTTATCATTTTTTCCCCTGACAAATTATGTTCCTTTGTCATTCAGGGGATTGCAGCCAACCCTATTGATATGATGTGTAACCAGCATGGATCTCATGTTCTTCGTACACTTCTATGTCTCTGTGGGGGTGTACGGTTGGATTCCCCGGAATTTCATGGAGTAAAGTCATCCTCAGCTTTGGCTAATCGTTTAAACCTCCAAGCATCTCGAGTAGGTGGGAGTGATTCTGTGCATATTCACCAGGGATTTCCTGGTTTGCTTAAAGATATTGTATCGGCAATGTTGAAACATACCAGAGAAGACAGCAGAAGCATCCTAGTGGATCAATGTAGCAGTTTGGTCCTGCAGGTATGCTTGAATATGGCCCAATTTTGTGTCTTCTTGCTGTTTAAAGTTGGGTCATAACACCTTATACTACCATTGTTTCTGGATTTGGAAATATATTTTTGTAGTAGCACTTTATTGTTGCAAATGGATGAGCATTAGGTATATGTTCCGGTTCATTATTGTAAAAGTCTATAGTGGTGGAGTTGTCTGTTTTTCTTACCATATTTAATGTAACCAGTCGATCAAGATAATCCTCAGTTATCCATTGCTGCTGCCATCAAGGTTCTGGGACCTGATTGCTGGCATTAAGTGTTTTTGTGTTCTCCCTTTATGTAACTGCTTTGTCTAAAACTTTTAATCATGTGAATCTGCCTACTAATAATGAACATTTCCTGTTGCAGACAGCTTTGAAGTTGCTTGCAGGGGATAATGAAGAGTTATTGCATGTAATACCGGTCCTGCTTGGCTGCAAAAACCAAAACTTAATAGACAAGACGATTGCTAGGGATATTGTGAAGCTTATGAAAGAACCTGCGTTTAGCCGCTTGATGGAAGTGAGTATGTTATTTTCTGTGGTTGCTCTACTATTATTTTCTCTACTTGCATCCTTTTTTCTAGGATTGTGTTCCATTTTCCATAATCCTTTCTGGATGCAAGGCTATGCAAATAACCAATAAGTGAATAGTATAATGACCCTTATTGTAGCTAGTTTCCTGCTGCAACCAATTTCTGATTGATCTCTTGCATATATGAAGTTTGCTTCCTTTCTGCTACCTTAACAAACTCTCTTTTGGATTATAACATGTAGTCTATGTTTTTCTGAGCTGCTTCTTATCCTTGTAATTTTACTTAATCAAGCTTTAACACTTGTGCAGGTAATACTGGAAGTGGCTCCTGAAAGTCTGTATGAGGAGCTGTTCATGAAACTCTTTAGGAATTCACTGTTTGAGCTTTCATCTGATAAATGTGGGAACTTTGTGGTTCAAGCATTAATTTCTTATACAAGAGATGAAGAACAAGTATGTAATCTATCTTGTCCCATGTTGGTTAATGGCAATTGTAATTAAGATTTGATTCAATCTTTCAAACCAAGCATGTTTCCCCCCCCAGTTGATGGATATTGTTCCACTCATTCTCTATGACTAATAGGTGAAGTTGATCTGGAAGGAACTTGGCCCTAAATGTAAAGATCTACTGGAAATGGGGTGTTCAGGAGTCATTGCTTCATTCGTAGCTGCTAGTCAAAGGCTTCAAACTCATGGACTTGAGGTGAAACTTTGATCTGACATATTTGATTTCTGAAAAGGCATTTTTGAAAGGCTTCATTTTGATAATGAGATCTGCCCACTTTTTGTTGGACAGTGCTGCCAAGCTCTTGCGGATGCAGTGCGTGTGGGGTCGGACGAGTCTCCAAGATTCATTATTCCCAGAATATTATTTCTTGAAAATTACTTCAGATGTGAGGACAAGTCCTCTTGGGAATGGCCAAATGTTTCTAAGATGCATGTTATGGGCTCTCTGATTCTACAGGCAGTTTTTAAATTTCCAAGTGTAAGTTGCATCTCACGGATAATCTTATGATGAATTTTTGTGATTTATGTTGCTGACTTGTTAATTCCATTGATGTCTCCCTGTTGATCCATTGGCAGGACTTCATAGAGCCATATATCAAGAGTCTCACGTGCATGGAAACGGAGCAGATCCTCAAAGTCGCAAAGGATGCTGGGGGAGCTCGTGTTCTTGAAGCATTTTTAGATTCAGACATCTCTGCCAAGCACAAGCGGAGAGTTATTTCAAAGTTTGTGGCATTCAAGTCCTTAGGAGTTTTGTTTCTAATATATATATATTCTCGCTTGACATTTGTGTAAAAAATGGTGTTGTTTGGTCTGTATACAATCTTGACAGGCTAAAAGGACATTTTGGCGAGCTGGCAAAAAACCCGTCTGGTTGCTTCACTGTTGAGAAGTGCTTTACCGTGAGTAACCTGTCATTGAGAGAGGCCATAGCATCAGACTTGGCAACAGTGCAACAAGCGCTGGAACACTCCAAGGCAAAGCAAAGCCTCTACCTCTTAAGGAAGCTGGATATTGATGGGTATGCATGCTGCACTGCTTCAATTTTCATTAAGTTAACTTGTGTGCAGTTCTTATGTTCATGGGCTTCAGCTTGCTTGCTCAACTTCTATATTCTGCATGTTTATTTTGTTTTTGGGTCTGCCATTGTGCTATAGATATGCCAAGCGGCCTGATCTATGGAGATCAAAGCAAGAGTCGAGACAAGCAACATACGACGAGTTTTATGCAGCATTTGGGAAAACTGAGGATGCAACAACACATTCAAGAAAACGAAAGAAAAGGGAGGAGATTGTTGATCACTTGCCCTCGGAGGAACATGCCAAAGATGTTGATTCCAAGGGTGGCAAGAGAGTGAAGAAGCACAAGGAGAAGGTTGAATCAGCAAGTGATGGTCCTCCAAAAACGCCATTCCTATCGGAAGAGATGCAGGGGAAGAAACGGAAGGGGAAGACTGGGCAGTTGAAAGCTTGGAAATAGTGAACGGCATGAGCACCTGCTGCCTTCTGCAGGTTCTTCACCAGACCTTTCTGATTATCTTTCTTCTTACAGTGTAGCCCCATAGGACTGTTGGTGTTTAGCACTTCTAGGTTCGGGGTTACTTTTTGACCTCAATGAGAGCATGATTAATTTGATGTATGAAGAGGAAGTGATGTTGAAAGCGGCTGATGGAAGGCAAGCATGGTAACCATGTCTTGGTGAAACTTGGTCAAAATTTTGTACTACAACTACTTGAGCTTGTGTTTATGCAACTATACATTCTGGCTTCTTGGTAGCTCTTTTCATTGTATCAACGTTGTATCAACGAAAGTGACGAAAGTGACAAGTGCTCGATATTTGGTCTTAAAAGAATGTCGATAAAGTGGTAGCCAGGGAAGGGAGCATTCGTCCCAAAACAAAACCCCTCTTCCTACTTTGCTTGCTTTGTGCTGGTCGAAGTTCAACAAAACAAGAATTGAATGTTGCTCTGCTTCTCATCTATAAAAGCCTACGTAATCTACTACAATCACTTTAGACCAAATGATACCCGCAGATATACAAGAACAGACAAGGCACATTAAAGTAAACACTACCAGCCTACATTACATGTTATTCTTAAACTTCAACACATCTTTGGCATCTAGCCCATACATCTCGCAAACACTAGCGATCGCAGTTTCGCTAACATCATTATCTTCAGGTTGCCCGACGATGATCTCCTGAAGTTCCCTTGATGGCTGCAACACCTGCAAGTATCTTCAGAACTTAAGGCTTCACAGCCACGGAAGCCAATAAATAAACAGCACCCATGACATGACAACACCAGCATGTATTGAACATTTATCAGCAATGCAATACAACATCAGCCCGCTGGACAATAGGGTGACGGTTTTCCTACTGCAACAACCCTGGCTAACTCTATATACGTACGTAAAACCAGTAGCAAGTAGCAATAACATCTATGGGCTTTCAAGAGGTCTACCCGAATAACTTACAGTAAAGATTACAACATTCTTAAACTATTCTGCAAAGCCGAATCCAGGTCAGTCATCGTAATTCTAAGTAGTGAGGTGCCAAACCATTTCAGAATTATTCTTTCAAGAACGAACCCACGTTTTCTGTACCGACTCAACTGATAAACTTAAATGAATCTGCGTAAAGACACTCAAGTACACACATCATATGCTCCTCAAGCTAGCCAAAACACACGTGACTAGACTGAATCCACCTGGTTAGCATAAGATGCTCCTTGATGTAAACCATGAACGTCAAAGGAATTATGACATGTTGAAAACTTGAAATGAAGCAAAATTAAGGTTATTCAATAATCCAAACAGAGGAAACTCAAGTGCATTCAGCTTGAAGCCAAAATAATACAGAGGCCAGTAGCATTCATTGCTAAAATTTCATTCTGACTCACCCATGGAGAACCTTGTGAAGAAGGGGCTTTATCCTTGGAGCTGTCGTCCCCCTTCTCAGTTTGACCTTGTTCACCATTTTGATCCGCACATTTTTCAGACCATGAGTGATCGGACACCAGCTTAAGGAGTGTCTCACTTCCCTATTTTTTTTTTTTGGAATATTCAAGAAAAGATGAGAATTAACAAATGCGGAGACTCAACTCCTAAGCAATATTGTTGTCCAAGTTAACCACAGAACACATGTCCCATCTATAAGCAGGCTACTTATAAATGCGTGAGATAATCCTCACTTCAAATATTTGTAATTCATCTTTTCAGAATATTGTAATGGTTTACAGACCTGCAGAGCTCGCCAATGAGAATAAGTTCGAAATAAGACCCAAAAGAATGGTATATTGGGCAGAGGTAAAACCTGCATCACATAGAAGTGATAGATCAATAAATCCTCAAGTATGAAACACTTAATTACAGTTGATTACAGGAACATCTGAACCGCACCGTGTACTGAAACCAAACTATAAATACATACGTACACTCAACGCAGATGTCAGTGGAAGTAATGTTACTGAACCATAGAAGTATTTCTTGTGGATGGAAGCTCCTCTGAAAATCAGACAGCATTAGAGCCAATATAGACGTAATAGACTATGCAAATACATAAATGAAACAAGTACAAAGAAAAAAGCAAAACAAAAATCTGCCAACTCTTCCCAGACCTATTACCGAACTGGACTAGTACCTGATGATTGGAATACAAAATTTAGTGACATACAACAACATATTAGCCTCATAGCAAGGGAATAATATTTTTTTTCCTAAAAATTTGGATCTCAGAGAAAACCTTCACATTTGAGCTGTGGCAATGTTTCACAAGTCAAGCAGCGCCCAATGGAAAATTCAAAGTGTGCATCAGAATTATGATTACTCATTCTTAAATCAGAGTGAACATCATAAGTACAGGTTTAAGTTACAGACATACACTACCAAGCGTAAGCCAACAAGATATGCTCATCATAACACAGGCAGTGTATCCATATAAACCTCCAGAACAAGCATAATGGATTGAGTGCACATTCGATACCAATCATGAAAATGTAAAGCAGGCACGATGCTTATTTCATTAAAGCTGGTAAGAGAATCATGCTGACCCCTCGGCAGTAAAAGGAGATAGAGTTCTTGAAAGAATGCAAGATGTATGATTCAGAGGACGCAATTATAATGGGAGAAAGGGAGCATCCAAAATTTTAAGAGTACAAGAAGTACTTACCTAATTGCAATATGGCGCAATCTTCGTCGCACAAGACGTGCATTTAAACTGCAATAGATGAAATAAAAGATTCGAACATAACAAATGAGATGGGTATAACTGATGATGTGTCTTATGCAATCTATTATCTCTCTGGCATTGTACATCTCTTTTACAGTATGAGCGATGCACACAGCATATAATCAGAACAAAAAAAGTAAGAGCACTAGGAATCTGATAAGTCTAGATTCACAGTGAGCCGGAATGTCATAAGAAGAAGACATTAAGATTTTGAGAATTTTGAATAAACTGAAGGAAACAAGACTCGAGCAATAGCTAGATGCACTATGTCTTAAAATCAAGAGAAGCTTTCCCACTCATCAGTCTGGAGAGTTCAGTCAGTGCAACTGAAGGAGTACATTCGGATATAAAAATTGAATAGTAAACCATCCCTTCTGACTACAGATACCGAACTCACAGTCATTGCAACTGTCACTGAGCTTCGAACTCATCAGTTTAATAGATTATTGAAACGACAGACCTTCGTTGGACAATTCAATCTCACCTCAAGTATATATAGAACAGAAGCGCTTCCCGCTGGTCAAGGTAAGTTTATCATCTTAAATTCCCTACTCATACAAAGTTGAGAAGAGATGAGCTTCTCATAGAACTACCTTGCCAGAACAGGTATATAGCAGTCCTCAGCAAAACCAGAACTCCCATCCATTTTACTATATAGTCAAAGAGGGCTGGTACTAAGAAATTCAACTTTCCAAAACAGGGCTACGGCCTTAAGGGCTACACTAAAATGCTCAGATGAACCGCAAAGCGTTTCCATTGTGCTGTGGTTGCAGACAATCTAGAGCTGGTGCTCTTACGTGTATTCCTAAAAATATTCTGAAACTCAAGCATCTCTAACGAAGTAATAATCAATTTGACAGAACTATTTCTAGTTCTAAAATATGCCAAGAAACAATCATTGGACGGAAAAGGGAACAAGCTTAAGGAAGAAGAACAAGAGCACAGAGTCGAGTAAAGGACCTGACGGGGTATACTATTTCAACATCGGTGACGTCCCTGGATATGGACTTCAAGAAAATCTCCGACGGCTTAACCCGCGCCAGTAGCTTCAAACCTACCCTACTCACGCGCATAAGCAAATGATAAGAAAACGAAGCCTGTTTTCTGAACCCAAGTAATGGGAGAGAAAACCAACACGGTAGACCGAGAGAAGAGCAAGTAAATGGGTACCCATGAATCTTCTTCTTGAGAGTGCCCTCGGGCGATTTCTCCATACCCATCCAAGCTCTGTTCATCTTGTTAGCGACGAAATCGACAATGAGCTGGGCATTGTGAGGAGCGGAGGAGCCAGAGGAAGTGATGCTGCGCCAGAGATCCCGGATAGTAGAAGGGGAGGCGGATGAAGAGGAATGGTGATTAAGAGAAGGGTCGAGAGATCTGGAGAAGCACCAGTTCCTTCCACGAAGCGGGAACACAACCAATCTGGCTCTCATGGCTGGCTATGGGTCTTGAACAGAAATGGTGTATACAGAAGTAGAATGAAGCGGGAGGGAGCCTGTAATGCAAGATTGCCAAAGAATGGAATGGAGAAATTTGAGGTGGAACTCTGCGTACTCTACTCTCGACTGGGTTCCTTCCCCTTCTTCTTCCCTGCGATCAAATGCTTAAACCCACGACAGAGCTTGGAAACCCTATGCTCTATTTTCTTGCAATAAACAAATCCACAAATGCTATCCTCGTCAGGTTTGGGATGCTAACATGGCAGTCCACCAAAAATAGCCTCAAACTTGTGGATTTTGATTTCTTATTAATTCTTTAGTGCTCTGATCAGAAAAGGAAGACGGCATTTCCAGCCAAAATAGTCTCAAACTTGACAGCACAATTCGGGAGAGCTCTGGTTTGAAGCCGTGGTTGTGGCTGTTAATTACACAAAAGATTCGAATAATCAATAATGCCAATTTTGGGCTATGGTGAGGTTACAGGTCACATCTTCTAATTATTTTTTACATGAGCTTATATTAAGTGGAACTTGATGGATAAATTGCGCGAGGGTGTAAATTAGTAGAGGGATAAATTATTGTTTCGATAAAAAAGTAGGAGAGGTGCAAATAGACTGATAAGTAAATATTATATTACAATAAAATAGATTTATCAAATTTATAAAATATTGTTACAAATAAAAATAATTATATAATAATTAATATTAGTTAATATACTGTAATAAAAATCATTATTATATAATAGTGCTCAAATAATAATTAATTATAACAATTGTTAATAATCATTGATCGAGCGACCTCGAAACTCGAAGCACAACTCGTAACTCGTCATCCTAAAAGGTTCTCGTGTCTAATTTAACTTTAAATTGAATATGGTTAAACTTAGTCAAACGCATTCCACAAACACTTCTTATCTCTACTTTTCAATGCAAATTCGAGCCAACCAAGAGATCTCTATGACTAGATGAACATTGATAAACTTGCTCTCAGAGTCAAACGGTTAACTCTGAACAATGTCTATATTAATGATAACTATAATAAAAGAAATTGCCAATATTAATTATTTAAAATAAATAAAAGAAACGGTCAACTTCCCCTCCCTCCCTTCCCTTGCACCCCAATTTGGGAGTAAGCCGAAATATTAATTTTGCACCTCCGGTTTGCACCCCCTACTGTTCCAAATTATTCAAGTGCAAATATGTTGGAAACTGTGTTTACCCCTCACATTTGCAAATGTGTTGGTCCAACATTTTTTATTTATTTTTAAACTAGTATTCAAAAGGTTCCAACAAATATTCTCATCTCTAAGACAAACAAAGATTACACACAAATGAACATGTATTAATAGACATCGAATAACTATTCAAAAGCGCCGCTGATGTATTCAAATTATTAGAACAAGTATTTTCATCTCTAAGACCAAGAGAGAGGAAGAAAGAGAGAAAAATGAAAGAGAAAGGTGAATGATATAAAATGTCAATTGAATTGTGGGACCACCATATGAAAATGTACTATGCTCCTCTACTTTTCACTTATCATATTTCTTTCCAAAACCAAGAAATCTCAACCCTTTAAATTAAGTGGTGGGACTTAAGTGTTTATCTCACTATGTGAGCATGAGTGCTCATAGATGGGTGTGATCACCATAGCAAAATTGATTCTGGGTAGGATATCTCTTTTGTTGGTGCCAATTATTTGGTTTTCAGTGAAATCTTATATGGTTTCAGTGGATAGAAGAAATAAGTGAGATCCCATATAAGATTTTTGTGTGATCCTTTTTTACGAGACGAGTCATCATGATAATTTGGAAATTTCTAGACTCGTATATCGAGATCTTAGTTGGGCACGAGCCAATGACACGCAGATCGTCCAGTTGGGCCAATATCGACTTGTTGGTGATGAATGGCAATGGGATGGGGAGTCAATCATCGAGTCAGGAGGGTGGAACGCACCTAGCACGGGAGGAGGTCTGTCATAGACTTGGGTCGAACTAATTGATATGGGGCCTTGAGCTTGCCCGACCCGCGAGGAGGAGCAATTTGACTTACTAGGCCTAGCGAGAGGGAAGCCACGTGCGGGTTGTCACGTGGAATTGGTCGCACCAAGAGGAGGATAGAGCGGGTATCTTTAGGCCCAAGCCAGCCTAATTAGAGTATCTAGAATTCAATCAGAGTGCAGATCCTTCTATATGGTTCTTGCGTGTGGATCAATTTTTCAAATTTCAGGAGACCCCAAAAGAGTACCAAGTTCCAATTGCATCATATCACATGTAGTGATGGCAATGGGACGAGGTCGATTGGGTAACTTAATACACATACCCGCCCCCCACAGGTAAGATCAGGTAATACCCATGCAGGTATGGCGGGACAAGTCGATTCATTCTTATATGTTATTTGAAAAAGGAACGTCAATATTGAACTCTTTTACGAGAACACATAGAGAAAACACTTCATAAATGAATGATAAATATAGTAGAAGGAATAATTGAGTCTGATCACATAGAGGGAGATGCTAACCAATTGTGGCACTGGTTCGACCGAACCTATGTCACATTGGGAATGCCAATTACCTTACCATGTTTTTGGAGAAGAGTTGTGAGCTCCATTTGGGCCGTTTGAAGGGGCGTATAACAACGAAGCACTTGTTAGCATACATGATCATTCAGTGACTATCTTTTGGCGTTCAAGAAGTTGGGCAATCGCTGTTATAGATGGTCGAAGAGGCGTTGGTGGTCTCTTTTATTGGTGGCTTAAACTCAAAATTTTTTATATGATTCGCATGTTTAGGCCAGATACTATGTGCGAGACAATTCAACTTGCCATGGTGAAGAACGAGGAACTGGCCAAGCATTGTGGAGTGCATAGAAATCCACCACGTGCTCAAATAGAGGCGTCGACCAAACCAACAGTTGTGCCACCTTTAGCCGTACCACCCCCAACCCTACTACACGAAGGATGACAATAGAGGAAGTAGCATAACGAAGAACCCAAAGATTATACTTCAACTGAGACGAGCGATTAACCATTGGTTATTGTTGTGTCAATGCAAACGTCTTTCTCACGATTGGATCGTGCGAGAAGGACGAGTAGGGTCAATTCATCAATAAAAATGACAAACCTTGTGGGCAAGGTTGTGTTTAAGGGGAATGATTGTTACGAGGCGAGACATTGGATAATTTGAGAATTACTATGCTCATATATCTTTTTGTATTTTTATTAATTAGTTCATATATTGTTGTTAATTTGTGATATTCGTATTATCATTAGTTGTTTTTGTAGGATTTGGATTGCTTTTTAGTATTTTTTTAGAATTTGGTTATTGTTTCCTTGTGGGATAAGTTTCATGTTTTATGTAGGAAAAGGGAGAGGGGGTATGTGTTAGGTTACCCAATTCATTGGGTGGAACTCATGTATTCACTCTAGAGCTCCATAATCGGAGAAAATTTGCGATTTTTTTTGACCGAGTGCAATTTTATTTTTTTAGAGTGCGATTTTTTATGACAAGAAAAAAGAATAAAACCACACATTTTAGGATAATGCGATCAGGGAAGACGATGGACAAAGTCGCCCATTGACAATCATGGTTCCAGTCCCCTCTTAAGGATTGGAAGAGGAGCAAAAGTAGCAGAGTTACTAACTAAAGTTTATTGTATTTCCACAGCAATCGATCCAACGAATTCCTTTCTCGTGTTGTGCATCAAAACCAAGAAGTATAACCTCCAAATTCCGCTGTTGTAACTTGTATATGTATTATTTCTTCAACTTCTAAAGCACTCCCTTTGTGCACAGCCGAGCCGAGAAAACGCCGCTTCTGTATGCATAATACTAATAAAACGGCTAAAGATACAAACTGCTGCTTTCTTACAAGTATCTTCAGGAATGAATGAATGAATGAACGAATGGACGGAGCAGCTCGGTTGCTCCCTAGCTATCTCAGGCACAAGAGTCGGGCTCAGCAGGGATCTCCACGACAGAAAACACTGACAGAAGGATTCCATCGTTCATTGTTTCCCAGCAGCTGCTCTGCTCCGCTCCAACCAACTACAATCAAGGATGCAAGTAAGGAAATGAATCCATCTCCCCTAATTCCCAAACCTCGAGTCTTCTCGTCATCGTCTTCTTCTTCATTTCATTCATCTTCTGCTATGAAGTTTGGGAGCTCACCCTGGCACAGGTATTCATCGCATGATGATCCAGTATCCCAGTCCTTGCGAAGCCTTAGAATATCTTCCGTGAAAGTTGATCCTGCTGCCCCAATAAATACACTTGACATGGCGCATATGCTCTTATCCAGCATAGCTTCCACCTATCCAAACCAGCACAAGGGAAATAAACCAAATAAATACGATATCAGCAAGGATGAGAACTGATGGATCTAGATACACACAACTTCACTGAGCAATCAACACAAGTAACAGAGATTAGCAGTCCTGCACAAATTCCTCTGCTCATTTCAACATGCTGGATCCTAGCTAGTTCAACATGTAGGAATTAATTATTCTGGAGCTGTAAAGCATTCATATTTTTAGAACTGTCGTTAAACTTCATGATTATTGTGATATGCTAGCCACTGCTAATTTAAGTTACTTATGTTGATTTCTTAGTGAAGTTGTGTGTATCTAGATCCGGTCCATTGAATTTAACAAGTGATGAGATACAAGTGCAACATACAGATTAACAGTAACGCCCCCATAAAGCAAGCTAAAAAAAATGTTGCATGTGAAAAATGTTGGACCTTATGAATGTACACTTAATACATGAGAGAGATCCGTTAAAAAAAAACATGAAAGAGAGTTTGTTTCCAAGTTTTCTCATGCATAGATGAGAGAGCCTGTCTAGTTATTTCAATTGAGAGCTTGAAACATAAAATTCTGTTTTTCTGTGCTACTAAGCTAGGGCCTTTTCCACAAACCACTTGGTGCATCCTCATAGTACGAATCAACAGTGAAGGACTCCGTTTATTTGAACATATAGACACAGTAACCACTTACAGAACACCCACTAGCCAACTTCTCAAACCAAACACATTCATGGCAGACTCTAACTTTTAGTATCAAAGCTAACTCTAAGTTTATGCAAACACGACCCTTTTTTATCTTTTAACTTCAATAAAATTATATGGTTTTCCATCTCTCAGAACATATCCACCTGTTTCTTACCACCTAGACATCACATGCAGCCTAAATAGCTCGACAAAGTGAACTTCACAATAAATTGCATGTAGCATTAGGAAACAGTCCCCCACGGAGCAGAACTAACTCCACAAAGAAACAAAGAGCAAGAACAACTAAAACAATGAAAGCATACGAAGGACAGGAAAGGTTCCCACCTGTGGATCATCCTCAAGGTGATGTCTATATAACAAAGCATCCCACTTTTCAGCTGCATTAGGAGGAGGTCGCTTAACTAATGGTATGGTCTTCCCATCCACAACCACTAGTGACTGCAACAAGTTGGTTTCACTTTCTGCTGCATCAGTCGAAAGATAGATAACTGGTGCATTTGCTTTTCCAATCACGCGAGCGATGCAGCTGGCAGCTTGAGGAACCGGGTAAAAGCAACTCGGCTTTTTGGCATTGCTGGAAAATTATTCATAACAGTAAGTCAAACTAAGCTGTCCCCAGTCCCAATACCAAAGACATAAGCACAATAGCTAATACATTCAAAATCCATGAAAGGGATATTAAATCACTGTGCACCAAAGCTACCAACCTAGTATGCATGACCTCAGGTACGTGGAATAAAAAGATATCTAGTCCAAACACCAGGATAAGTTTTCAACTAAGCAATAATTTTCTGCCATGTGTCCGGGAAGAAAAAAGCTTCATACACATTGAAGACATTGCTCAGAAAACTTAACCATAGTATATTCCCATTCCCTGGTGGAGACAATCTAGAGACCTAGGTTATGGTAACTGAACATGAGACAGGACAAAAATAACCATTAGGTACGAAGAGATTCTTGGAAAAAGAAAGGCTTCCTTTTGTGACTTCATAAACATGTAATGTGCAGGGGAAGTAAGCTCACCAGAACTTCAAAAAGCCATGCCGCCGGAAATGGAGAGCAATGAAATTGTTCCCCAAGAAAGTCTGGATGAAACGCTGGGCTGTGAGCGTGATAAGTCTACTAGGTTCAATCAAGGTCTTGCATTTGTGAGCCAGAGGGCCACCGGGCTGCATCAGCCATTCCGTCTCAACATCCGCGTAGAAGACATCTCCAATGGCGATAACATCGTCATCAGACGAGAACTTGGCCACCACTTCCTGGGCAGTCCTTTTACCAGGTTTCCTGATATCCTCTTTCCAAGGAGACTCTAGCTTACTCCCCACAGAGATCCCCAAGGCCTTCAACTTCTTGACATGGTCCTCGTCGACGTAACAAGGCGTGGGGGCTGAGAAGTAACATATGAACTTATCAATTCGCAGGCGATCCTTCCTCATCTCCTCGAATTCTTCGAAGTTGAGCACAAGCTTGCTTCCAAGACAAGTATTAATGTGGTCGATATCCAATACTCTACTATAGTGATAATCAAATCGATTGCTCGGGAAAACCAAGACCCTATTGAGCAAAGCAGCGAAGAACATGTGCTTCTCCAGGCAAATCAAGTGGTTACTCATCTGGCCCGACAAACAAATAGCAAACAAGAACTTATCGGGCCGGGGCTTCCAGGCCATGGTTTTCCGGTCCGGCAGGCGACGGTGGAGGCTCTGGCAGCTGGAGAAGCGAGCAGGAGCCACGGCAGATGGATCGGAATCTGAAGACAATGTAGTGTTGTTGATGGGGGAGTTATGAGGGGATAATAGAACCTGTTCAATCTGCTTGTTGAGCGAAATCAAGGGCAGGAGCGCGGATTGGATGGACGAAGATGAAGAATTGGAAGAATGGTTCCAGAGGGAGAGGAGAGAGCTCTGCTGCTGGTGGAGGAGGTAGAGGGCCCGGAGTTCGGACTCGCGCATCCGATCGGAAAGGGGATCGAGATTGAGGACGGGGAATTTGGAGTTAGAGAAGAGGGTGCGGAAGTCGGTGGAGAAGTAGAGGAGGACGATGAAGAGAGGGAGGAAGACGGCGAAGAGGTACCTCTTGGACAACCGGCGCCGGACGCCATTGCCGAAGGTGCGGAGATCCTCGACGTGGAGAGAAGAGGAGGGGGAGCGGCGGGGAGAGGATGAGGGTTGGTGAGGGATGGGATGGGGATGTTTCCGGTCATTCTGCTCTAGGAAGCTCTCGCGATCGTCGTCTTCGTCGGAGGAAGCTCTGTCCATCGCTGTCTGGCGCCGGCTGAAGCAGAGTAAACCTCGGCGAGAGAGACGGGCTGGTGCTGGTTGGTGGGCAGTGGGCTCTCTTTCTTCAGCGGAAAGCTTCCGATGCCCTAACCGCAATCTCTCTCACCGGCCACCGCCAGATTTGGGATGGCGTATGAATTGGGGTTTGAACTTTGATTGATTGTGAATCGCTGCGTCGGTGGTTGGACGAGGACGACGAGGATTCAACTAGTGAACTGCCACGACACTCTGGCAACAAATTGCCAAAATGGGGCATGTTTTAGTATATACGGTTTTATTTGGTACGAAAAAAATTAAGAATGCAAATTATGTTAGGATGACAATTTCGACCTCATCCGTTTTATTCGATCTGTTTGACCTGTTTTGGGCGGGTCCGACCCGCCTCGTAGGCGGGCGGGGCGGTCATGAATATTATCATCGATCCGACCTGTCCTGACCCGCCCCATTCTCGACTCATTTTTGCCTAAAGTACATGTAATTTTAGTCAAATTACTTATGATTTTCCTTTTATTACATCATATTTTGGCTATTATAAAGTTGTAAATTAGTGAAACCCTCAATTTATCCAATATTTTAACTACATTTTATCATATTATGATTTGTTTCTTGGTCTTATAAAGAAAATAACGAATATTTCTAATGTTTTCCATATAAATTACGTACCCATTGGGTCGACCTGACCCGACCCGTACCCTATAATAAATTACCCGACCTAGATCCGATCTGCCACAAGGCGGGTATGGGTATCGAGATACCCGCCCCGGATCTGCCCATTGCCATTACTATTTACCTATTTACCCAGTTAGCATCATTAACGGTGTGTGACGGAATGACTATATTTGTCAAACAAAACCCAAAATCTAACTATACAAGTGTATTTTTTTCAAATTAGGCTACAAGTGTCACAAACATCAAAGTTGTGGCTATGCAAGTGTATTTTGTCTAATATTAATGAAACTGAGTTTATTTATCTCTTTCAATATTTTGGTGTAGATTGATGGTTGAGTTTGATCTTTGACTCTCATTAGAGAAGGTGGTGCATCTCCTCCATCACTGTTCTTTTAAATCAATTATTATGAAATCATAATTTATTTTTGATACTCCAAATTTATAATACACAAAAAAAATACTATATGAAGTTCGGTAAGCTTGTCGTTTGGAGAATATGAGTTTAAATCTACAGATTGTCAACAACGATTGTTGAAAACAGATTTTATGTTTATTGTTTGGTAACTGCGATTGTTAACATTCCATTAAAATAAAAATAAAAAATTTATATTAAATAACCTGTTTATCTTTAATAAAAATTATAGTGGTTCGAGAAATATTAAAAACTTTGTTGATAAATATATTTCATGTGATAAATAAATAAAAGGAAGAAAAAAACTAGGAGAAAAAAAATACGAATGAAGATATAGAATAAAAAAACAACAAAGAAAACATTTTCTACAAAATCTACGAATTCAGTGAATCTGTTCTTCGACGGCAACAAGCTTTTGGAATATATCACGTCGCTGTCCCAGGCCAAACTCTGATCAGATTCAGACCCATTGCGTCACTTACTACACTATCACGCACATTCCAGCTAAGACTAATAATCAGTAATTACTATACACCAAACTGCCATCGAAGAGTGGAAAATGTGGCGAAAAGAAAGAAACACAAAAGTGCTCCAAAAGAAAGAAGAAGCACAAAGTGCTCCAGCTAAAAGCAGCACATTCATGTCTCTGCATCCTTCGATGTCACCACTAAGCAGATCAGAAAAATTATCATAAACAACGATAATGATAATAAACTCTTCCAACGACTACTACTACATTCGACCTCCCGGTACCATTTCAACAAGTCTTCCGCGAACCCATCTCTTCGCAGTCACCCCGGCCACCAAATCTAAAGGTTTCTCCTCACTCTCGTGCAGCTCGACTTTGGAACCATTAGGCCGGACACTCGTTGCAGATTTGAGATTCCCGTTCACTTCACCCTGGCAGTGGTCCTCTGGTGTCTCGACGAGACTCGCCAAATCGAACACCTGATGCGGGCTGCAATACTTACCATGGAACTCCAGTCTACTCAAGTTGATCGATTCCCCATCTTCAGCACACGTTGCAGAAGCTGTTTTCGTTCCCCCATTTACGAACACTGGTCTGGTAGAGCCTGGCAACCCACCAGCATCATCAACTTCCTTCCCCTCATCGGACAGTTCAGGTGTTGCAAGATCAACATCCCCTCGATCAACACAGTCAATGGATTGAATTGCTTCTGCTATAAGCTTTCTAGACTCTACCAGAGAAGCTCGTGCAATCGGGCTTTCTGCTGCAGCAACCTCAAGGACCTTAGCTGCCTTCTCAGCTTGAGCAATTAATAACCTGCATATTGTGGCTTTATGGTTAGGAAAACGTATATATAATCACCAACTTCAGAAGACTACTTCTAGCTCAAACTAACAGCTTAACAATCACCATGCTCTTTCAATGGCTTCAGTTTTTTTAGTTTCCACGGCAGCTCTTTGTGCTCTGATGTTCATTATCATCTTCAACTTGGACCTGGCTAAAGGATCCTTGTAAGAAGGGGTTGTACTGTTCCGCTGTTTCATGACCTGTGTAGAGCTCGTGGCATCACTTCCACAAGAACTGCTTGTTTCACTGGCTTTCTTTTTTGAACTGTCCCTCTTGGTTGATGGTCTGCTGCCAACTGGCTTTCGCCTTGGCTTTCTCACGGTTCCTTCCGCAACACCATGATATTTAGCCAGGCCAGAGCGAACTCGATCTCGGTATGCCTAGACAAGAAAGAAAAAGAAGTTGTAAGACAGAGGGCAACGCATGCAAAATTTAGAATCAAACAAAAAATTCACTTGCAGGCCGTCCGTGGAAGATAGGTGTTGCAATAAATGAACATTAGGATGGGGGGAAAAAACTAACAAGAGAAACAGGAAAACAAATGCTTCATAATTTCTTACAGGATCAGCCCATTTGGCAGCAATGGCTTCTGCAATCTTTCTTCTTTGCTCCAGGGATTTTGGTGCCCTCTTGTTGCCTTTTGTCCTAGGAGTTGCTCTCCGCTTTTCAATACTCTCTACCCATTCAGTTTCAAGCTGTTTACTCAAGATACTGTAAGAATTCCATTCCAGCTCTTCCTCGTCAACACAGCCAATCCTTGAAGATGATGCAATCAAGTTCTGCCACTCAAAATAACAAGTTTCTTGCACCATTAGCTTGTCACGACGCTTTTCCCATCCCATTCGCACTCCTTGGCCAATTTTCAGTCTTGTCTCTTTGCTGCAAGATGATTAACAATGCAATATGTATTAATGTGGTCTAAGAAGAGGCTAACAGTTCTAAACTGTGGTCTAAGAAGATGTTAACAGTTCTAAACCTAATGACTCCATCATACTCACTAACCACACAAAAGTGAATCAAGGCATTTTAAACAGAAACTGTCAGAGTGTATGGAGAAGTAGCAGCATACAATGTGTCAAACCCTTGTAAGATAAAATAAATAGCATAAACTCACCTCTGAGCATGTCCAAGGCTTGCAAGCTTCATTTTTATCTGCATAAAAGAGTTTCTATCAGGAACTGTAACAACAACTGTATATCATACAAAAAATTAACAAGTTCGTTTCATTATCTCCCTTGACCATTCGAATCCATGGTCCTTCATAGCTATCATGGATACCATAGCAAGAGCAAGAATCCATATGCATGAATAGCAGGGAAACTGAAGCTGAAAGGAAAAATCTGCCTCCTTGAGACTGCCTTGAATGGGTCTTGAATATGAGCTTGAGAAAGAAACCGGCACCAATGGCCAAGAGGAAAACATAGCCTTGAGCCTTAGCGTATTATATAACTTTCATGAAGAGGGAGTTATCAAATATCAACTATACAAATGTTCAGATACGAAAATTTATGTGTTCATGCATGAAGCACGCGTTATCGACTATCGAAAATCAATTAGCAAGGACTTTGACGCTGTAGAAAGCGATGTTCAATTGCTTTCAATTTTCAAATCATAGACAATAGGAACATGTATAAAACAATTCTTACATGACATCACCTTAGGATTCTGCATTGCAATCTTCGTTCTCTCCCTGATGCGTTGAAGGGTTTCTGTGGATCAATTATTTACGTTAATTAGGCAGTACGAAAATTGTACAGAACAAATGCCTGTAACAGCAAACACTCCTACATGCCCCAAATCCAATAACATGTTCTGTGCGTGTAGTGACAACCTACCTGGACTGTGCTTCCTGCCCTTGTTCCAAGGTACATTTCCTTTATTAGCTTTAGAGATCCTCATTCGTCTCAGCCTCTCTCTCTCATCCAAATCTGCAGTTTCAGAGTCATCAAAAGATGTGGAAAGCCCTGAAGTGAAGTCGAGATGAGTGTCACATTGAGCTCGATCCCCATCTCCCGGTTCCCTCGAGACCAGTCCCTTTGGTTCGAGGGTTGCCGCAACTGCCTTGATGAGAAACTTATGTGGCTGATAAGCGTGGTGCACCCTTAGAGGCGGGAGCGGGAGGAAAGATTGCCAGACGGAGAGCAGCCTCGCATCATCAACAGCAGGAATGAATGGGGATGAAAAGGCCTGACAACGAGGAAGAAGCCGGGCCCTCGGAGCCAGAGGTGGCAGATGGTTGTTCAACGAAGTCTGAGCAGTAGGAATATCTGCCCAAACACATTATATTAAGAAAAAATTGTAACTATACAATCAGAAGAAAGAAACGAATACATGGCAAGTAACTGCATTTCTAGCAGAAGCTATATGAATTATCGCGGCTACATGGAAAACTCGTAAACAATTCCTATAGCCCATCCTCTACAGTTCTCCACCAGCAACAAGCATTCTGTAGCAGGAAATTCAATCGAAACCGAACTGAAAGAAATGGAGTAATGGGCAAGCAGGAGTTTGAGAAAGAGAAGGGAAGCACCTAATGAAGGCATTGATGAGAGCTCATTCAGACAAAGATGTAACGCTGATAGCTGAAATTGAGCCGGCCGTCCAATCTCAACGACTGTAGCTAAATACTACCGAGAGCAGCATTTACACAAACGGTTGGAAGGTAGAGATAGGCTCCTTCCCATTTTCCGAGCAGTGGCCGGCGCCGGTGAAGGTGAAATGGGAGACTGCAACTGAGATATGGACTGATGAAGCACACAAATAATCAATCAACGGTTTCGTCGCAGCACAGCGACAGCCGCCTCTTCTTGTGCTTGCTTCCCCGTCTCGTTTTCTTTCAGACTGCCTCCGAAAAGATAACGCGAATTGGCGAAACTCGCAAAATATATATCCAAGAAAAGGGCCAATAAATAAAATGAGGTGAATAAATACGGAATGGCCCCCAAACTTTACCAGGAGATTTAAATAGTCCCCGAACTTTATTTATGCATCAAGGATCCCGTTGGTGGATACAGAAAGAAAGGGAATTGCAGAAGGGAGGATGACTGGGAAAGAACCAATACACTCGCACAAGTTAGGTCGAAAGAACAAATCCTGCCAACATAAAAAAAACACTAGTGCTATTTTGCTATAATCAGTCAAGACTCGAGACTGCAGACACCACACCACCCAGGTCAGAATGACAAAATTATATACACATTAAGCGATACATATTTTCTCTTTTTTTTTTCCCCCAGTACAAAGAGAAGATAATAAAAAAAAAAGTCTCGGCTAGCATTTCATGGCGGTTTGATTTAGTTACCCTCTGCTTCAGTTCTTCCACTTCATTCACCAGTCTAGGGATGTGAAAGCTGAAGCAGAGGCAGTGCCATTACAATCCCAAAGATTGAAACAAGCAATATCACCACCCAGGCAGGAAATGTCTGCTTTCTTTTGTTTCTTCTTGCATCCTTGGCTGGATCTACCCTTTTCGCATCTTCTTCCACATGGCCGTCCACTTTTTCTGGCTTAGGCCTCGAGTTCTCATCTTCTGGAATCTCCGGCCCTATATCTGAATCAGGTTGCCCACCAGGCTGCTGCTGCTCTAGGTTGTACTTCTCAACATACTCGGGAAATAGCTTCCGAAATGTCGCACTGCTAGGAAGAAAGGAAGATGTCATGAGCAAACAATCATCGATAGACTCAATGGGAAAGACCCATCACGATCACAATACACATGCCATAGAGCAATGACTATTTCATGGCTTCTATCTACATTAAATTTCACAATTATTCCAAAAAAAGTGCCACCATCCCTAAAGAATTGACATGAATGGAGCCAGTGGACCATTCAGAAAATTGATACAAGAAGCAGGTGCACTTAGGCACAGAATGCAAAACAGGGAAGCAGAAAGGAGATAACCATAAATGTAGACCTCATACTAGGAAATGGAAAAATAAACTTCATCCAGAAAATATAACAAAAAAGGTGGAACATTATGTGAAAAGATCAACATACTTCTTGCAATTGAAAGCAAGAGAGGCCTCTGCCAGACGTTGCTTCTCAGCAACGGTACTGTTAACACTGCCTGTTGTGGGGCTGTTGTCCATCTGCAATAAGGGTATAACAGATAATAGAACCAAAGTGAGGTATGACGGAAGCAATTAAAACCCTACATCAACAGGTTTCCATTCGGATGAAAGAAACCATGGACATTCTTGAAACTATCAAGTACTAAACCCCTATTCCAGAAGGATTAGAGTAATACGAATTTATGGAAAATCTAATGCATGCTATTAGCTGAACAGTTAACAACTCTTGGAGTCAATTTCGATTGCTACAATCAGTCCTAGAAGTAGCCATTTGAATGTTGAAACCAACTGGAAGATCCAAAAGGCGAAGCGCACTCACCATGAAAGAAAGCAGCCCAGTCAGTATGCTGCACCAATGACATTAAAAGAACATTATAAAAGGATCAACAAGACCTGTTTTCAATAATTGCTACAGCCTACACCGTTGGATCTAGAGAAATACAACAATGGAACGTCTGCAACCAATAAAGGGCACACCTCAACCCAATCAGTTTTACCTTGATACGGACCACATTGGATTCCAACTTTCTGGATGAACTGAACAGGAGAACATAAAGGATACAAGCAAAGTTACTACAGAGTAGTAAATTTATTTCCAATTGAAAAATGATTGCTAACTTACAGTCACTCATCGACAGGCAGATTTTCTTCTGAGTCATGAATCGTCCATTGGGAGTGATCATGCTACCAAGAACAGTTAAAAAGGATAATGAAAGTTAAAGAAGCTCATCATTGGAATAAAGAAACTACATTAAATCTTGAAAAAATTCATCGAAGAGAAAGAATGAGGATTACGTAATTCCAGGAGGTTTATATGGATACTCAGGAGGAAACTTGATTTTTCCGTAGTAATATCCACCTGAACAAAATTTATAAAGTCCAACTGAAACATTAAATATCATGCTGGAAGAAAGTCCAAGAGAACATGATTTCCAGCTGCAAAACCAATATTCTCCCTCGAGTAGAACAGTGATCACAAGTTGCATACCTGCAAAAGGAGTGCCTTCACTTCCCTCCAATACATAATCTAGAATATCACAACAAAGGTAAACAAACAATAATCAGATCTAAGCATAGCAAGGCAACATGATTGACCAGACAAAACCAGATCACAAGTAAGAACAAAAGAAACGAAATGGGGGGAAAATAATTAACCGTCTTATTTTAAGTGCATAATATATGGAGACCTCGTCCAGTTTCTTTAGATTTTCATTTCAAGCATCTACTTACTACAACATGAATCTGTCCACATAAAACTTACAGACAGGCAACGCATCATTGACATGTAGGAGCGGAACAATAAGAAAAGCAGGTGGTATTTCAAGTTTAAGCCTGAGCATTGCCAGTGTATATAGTAGGGAACAATGACTTACGCCATTCAAGAATGTTATTTGGGGAAGGACGCGCAACCACGTTGGAGACTGGTTCCTGAAAGTTCATCACAGAACAAAATACGTCAAGTAAGAAGTGAAGCCTACAGGTTTCCTTTTCCACCATAGTTAGCCACTGCCAGAGACTATTACAACTGCCAGGAAGGACGCTGCTAAAACATTATACCTAGACCCGGCAACTTTAATGCCTCTACCACATACCAAATACTAGATTTAGGAAGACAGAAACTTCACAAGGACATTCGATCAGAAAAAAAGCAGTTTTCAAAAGTGAGGTGCGTATTGAGGAAGAGGGCATGAGGAATATACACACCTTGCAGAGTGCCCTGTATTCCTTCTGAAGCCGCTTGACGCAAGCTTTCTCCGCCATTCGAATGACTGAAACCTTAGGTAAGAGCAGCAATTGCGAGGAGCTCAGGAACCTAGTGCTGATGATGGAAAGAGAGAGGTAGTCGCGATGCGAGCAGTTAATTACACAGTAAATGGGAGGAGAATCATAAAGCGCATGTTTTTGATGAAAATGAAACCATGAAATTTCCCCGGTAAGCAATAGAGAGATTCGAATTGAACTCCACAACACAACAAGCAAATGGATTGGGAAGTTACGGGTTGAAACTAAAACGAGAATGGATCTGACAGAGGGAATCGGCGTCGTGGAGCGCGCGTACGAACGATCAAGAAACCGCAAATTATTGACCAGATAGATAGACACCTTCTTTTTATTTTCCTGATCGGCGCTTGAATCGTCTCTTCTTCGTTTCCCTTGGCGGTCACAGACAGACAGTTGATGGCGCTTGGAAAACCTAGATTGCTTACCGGCTTGCCCCTGCGCACTTTAATCTTCTTCCTCGATTCTTCTACTCCTCCTAATCCTAGAGAGACCTTCCTTCTCTTCTACCTCCAAAATTCCATTCTCCGACCCTGGATCCAATTCCAGAAGTTCCGCTGGAAGCTCCGATCACAGCCCTACGCTTCGCCTCTCCTCCTCGCCGTCGATCGTCGTCCTGCTCTTTCTTCTGGTGCTTTTGACAGTTGGAGGGTTTGGGTTGGGTTTTCGTCCAGTTGTTTTCTTTTCTCCCTCCGTTTCTTTTTCCGCGGCACCAGGGCCCAATTTCCTCCTCTTTTACACATGAAATTGGGCCGTATTCAGAGGGAAAATAGCAATTGGGTAATGCACGCTGGGCTGGTTGTTACAAGCATTTTTTTTATAACGTCAAATGAAACCCAGAATATATGTGGCCCAAACTATTGGAGGCCCTGTGCTGGCAGGCCTGTCAGCAAAGGCTCTTGGCCGTGCCGGCCTTTAAGGCTTCAAAAACGCTCTCAAATCGTCATCTCACTCTTTGGTTTGTCTATTGGGTGTTTGGGGTCCAAAACCCAGCTCTCCCCTTATAAAACTCGCAAAAACGCATTTATACCTACACCTGGAAATTCCCCTGGGTCTCCTCACGAATCCCGGTCGGGTAATTTGGCTTCCAACTCGGGGATTTGCTTCTGGAATAATCCCCTACCTAATCGTTAAATTCCCCAGGCGGGTAATTTGGCTTCCAACCCGTGTAATTCTCAGTTTTTGTTCCATTGTCTTTGATGCTTCGTTTCTCCCTCGTCTGAACTCCGAAATAGTCTCCGTTATATCTCAGACGCTCGTAGTCTCATCCTCTTTCTTTTCATGAAAATATTACAGGATTATTTTTTCATAAAATGAGTTAGAAATCCACTCTTCCTCATGTCAGGCCCGAGTTTCTTCACTTGAATCACCAATTGATATCCCATTGACTTGAAACTTGCGTCTATGCTTCACTTTACGTGCTAGGACCTGAAATGTGACAAAGGAACACAACCTAGCGTAAAATATGTCAAAGTATGATAAACACCAAACTAAACAATCAAGAAATGAGGGGTAAAAACATGTGCAGATTCAGTGTTATCAAGGAGCTTACCCCTATGCAACACCTTTTCTGCTTTCCCTTGTCTAGTAGTGTAGTTTTGTCTTTCTTTTTCTTTAGAAATTCGAACAAGATAAGGGGAACTTCAATCCCGGAAGTACCTCAACCTCCATATTTGTTTTACAAACCTAAAAAAAGGTCTCTTAATGACTGAGTTAGAAGACGTGTGAGGCCTAAAGGAATTACGATCTTGGTTGTCAACCAAGTAAATTTAACCTCTGTTCTACTACGGATAACTAGTCGTTCTCAGTCTCGTATTAGAAATCTTAAGGACATATTGGCTCGAACCAGGAATGGTAACTGCGATGTAACCACCTATATCAATGATATGAAGCTCCTGGAAGCTGAGCTTGCTTTGATTTACGCTTCTCTCTCTAACTTAGATCTTTTTATTTTTTGTTTTCGTGGTATGGAACCCGAGTCTAACTAGTTCTATGCGAGTATTTAAGCAAGAGGCGAATCAGTGTCGGTGGAGAATCTTCTTGATACGCTAGTCGAGTGTGAAGCTAGGCTCAAGCTCAATATGTTGTTCCCACTGCTTTTTGTCTCTCTCTGGGATCATAGCGTCGTAGTGGAAAGGCGGTCAGACTCGTTTGCAGTAAGCCTTTCGTTCTTCCCAACAACATAAGTAGCCACTAGGTCGAGACTAGGAATGGCAATAGGGCATATTCGGGGTGGGTATCTCGCTATTCATACCCACCTCATGGCAGGTCGAGTAATTTATCATGGGGTGCAGGTCGGGACAGGTCGATCCAATGAGTATGTAATTTAAATGGAAAACATTAGAAATATTCATTATTTTCATTGTAAGACCAATAAACAAACCTAAATGTAGTTAAATTATTGGAGAAATTGAGGTTGTCACTAATTTACAACTTTATTATAACTAAAATATGATGTAATAAAAGGAAAATCCCAAGTATTTTGACTAAAATTACATATAATTTAAACAAGAACGGGGCAGGTCGGGTCGATGAGAGTACCCATGCCCGCCTTGCCCCAAAATAGACCAAACAGGTCGGATAAAACGGGTCAGATTGAAATTGTCATCCCCAGACGAGACCAACAAACAGGTCGCGACATGGTTGCTCCTCCCAACTCCCTATACGCAGTGGCGGATTCAGGAAATTTTTATAAGGGTGTCCTCTTCCAAAAATTAAATTTAATTAAAAATTAAATTATATAATTCATAAATCAAAAAAATATTTGATTAGTGCAAATATACCATATTAGACAATATATAATTCCCCAACTGATCGCATATTAAATTTCTAACATTGTTCCTGATGTAACTCAAACTTGAAAGACTATTTCAACTCTTGCACTACACCTATAAAATCAATTCAAATTAAGGATAGCTCGAATGAGTTTAATTGTTAGGTTTTGAAAATAATTGAGAATAAAGAATAGTGTTATTACTATAACATAGTGTTTAAAATAAAACAACAAATGAGTTGCAACCTAGAGAATATGTTTAATAATAGTAGTGTCCTAGGTTTGAATAACACAGAGTACTACTTACATATTTTTAATCATACGCAAACTACTACCGATGACAGGATAATCGTTTTTCAAAATTTAAGGGTGTCCCGGATTACCAATTAGAATTTTTTTTATTCATACGAAACTACTACCGGGGGTTGGATAATCGTTTTCCCAAATTTTAGCCCATGTATCCGCCACTGCCTATACGTGAAGTTGGTCGAGACATGGGTCGCACTTATGACTCTTGTCTTTATTTGAAGCTATATTGGTCCAAATCCCAATTTTTGTCTATTTTTCTATACATGATAAAGATAAATAATTGTGAAGACAAAATAACAATCATATTTTCACTGTCGTTGTAGGAAATTTGAAGTGTGGCAACAATTTTCTCATTCCAGTATTATATATTGTGTAGAGTATATATGTAGACATGTCTTTGCCCAACAAATTCATTAATACATTAAAAAGGTGGAATGAACCAAAATATTACACTTAACCTCTTCTAATGATTGTCAAAAAAAAAAAAAAACCTCTTCTAATGATTATGGATCCAATCATGTCGGATTAGAAAGAGGTTTAAAACTTAGCGGTTAGCCAGGCTAAAACATTCAACGAACCAGTCTCATATAGCTTGCACAAAGATATGAATATGATTGTTTCATAGTAGTCATAAAAATTAATATTAGTTTAAGAATTATGTATATTGAATACTGGAATTCGATATGCAGTATTCGAACCATTGATATTTGAGTTTTGGTTTTAAAGTTATACTTATTTGTAAGATAGATAGAACTTTTAAAATAAGTATTAAATTTAAAATACAATTAAAATATAAAAATTGAAGTATCGAGAGATCAATAAGTACTTATCGGAGATTTGCTGGGGTAGCTGGCCATTGGAAATTCCTGTGATTTTCCTATATTAGCTTCATGTATTACTAAAGAGGAAATTGTCGTGGAATTTTTTTTTCCACATAGATTTTCTTAAAAAACGGTGAAAATGAACTATGATTTGTCGAATTCTTGAAGATGTACTTAGTACTATGTGAAAGCATGAATGAATAGAAAATTTGTAATAGGGAGACCCTCAATAAGAAAGTGTATATTATTATTCTTTAGATAGATAATTTCAAGAGAATAACAATGATTTTATTGAGCACTATCGTTGACTCACGAAACTATGAAGGCAATATGTTACCCTCAAACTTGTAAGCCCGGCAAGGCAACTATTTTGACAGAGGTGCAATATTGACACATATTACAGTAATTCACAAATCGGGGCTACTTCAAAGTAGAATGACAACCAGCGGCGGCAGAATTGAGCTTTCAACAACTTACATACCAGATGACAGCAGTAGCAAAACTTCCAAGCAATGACAACCAGAAAAAGTATACTACACTACCCGACCAACAACTGTACCAAGGACCGGTTGAGTATCTGGAGAGAGGAATATATTGTGCAGCTAACTAAGTCATATAATCCTGTGCATCTGATGAGTTTTCAGCTTGGGAGCCCGCTGTCTGTTCGTTCCCCGTCGTTCGCTTGCTCATGTTAGCTCGCTGCACTAAACGAACCAGTGCTTGCACCACTTCAGACATAGGTGGCCGGAATTCAGGCTCAGGCTGACACAAATAAGAAGTATCAGCAAACATTTCGATGCTTCTGTGTGAATCAACATTCAACCATGAAGCTAAACTCAAAGGTACAAAGACGGAACACTCCATTGGACGTATAACAAGATGGGGGGAAAAAGCAGCGGATTAACAAATCAAGCATGGTCATACTTCCATCTTTTAGCTTTGACTTGTTTTTCGACATCTAGTCAGCCAATTCTTTATTTGGATCAACATACAACGATGATAAACCCAAGCAAGTTGGGGATTTAAGGCCGGAGGAACAGTCAGGCGACTCATGACTCCGGTTTCTTGCACTTCACTTTGTTCCATTAAGAATGGTAAGTGTTCTAGTTCACAGTACATGAAGCAGTCACAAGAAATCCAACAACACATGCAAGTATGTCCAGCTAATGGTGCATATTTGTGTCTACTACACATGCACACGAGTGTATGCTACACTACACAAGTACACATACAACTTTCTCAGGTGCAAATGCACATGCATGGAGATAAAGGTAAGGCATTAGTCAGTAACGTACCTGAACACAGAGAGCGATAACATCCGCAAACCGGGAGAGAGATTTAACAGGGTAAAGTCCTTTTAATGCTGGATCAACCATTTTAGACAATGCATCAATGTCGTGCAGCTGTGGTGTTGCCCAACGGACCAAAGATTGCTCAGCTCTTGCCCTTGAACTGCCAAGATTAACAAGATACACATTAAGATAATAGTCTTCACAAATACAAGGCTCCTCTTGATACTTGCAGCACCATCATGTTGATTATGAAATAAATAGCTTGCCTGTCAAATGGTTTACGCCCAGTAAGGAGTTCCAGCATCACGACTCCGAAGCTATACACATCACTTTTGAGAGTGTATTGGCCAGACATAGCAACCTCAGGTGCACTATACCCAGACCCTGCATTCTGATTCAATGCCTGCATATCATAGCAGAAACTAATGATTTCAGGGCATGTAATGATTATAAATTTACCTTCTATAAATCATCCAATTCTACAGTTGAACTCTTCTTCTTACTTTTTTGTGGAATTCTAAAATCTAGTTTTGATGAAACAAGAACATATAACCTGACACAAAGTGATGGAGGCTTAAATCATACTTATACACACTTGCTGCAGCCATTTGTGCAGATTAATATGCACCAGGAAAAAAAAGAAGAAAATCCATACATAGAACTACTACAAGGGTTTATAGAGGTCGCCCTAATGTTCATTCATAGATTGAAGGCTGAGCAATTACTTGTCCCCGGAGTTTCTTTTGTCGGACCTTGTTATTTCACATATCAATCATCGTGATTCCCCTACATACAAAGAGGATATCCAGATTTTTGCCCGTTCTACAGGGTCTTCTAACATTCATCAAGGAAAGATCAGAGATCCAAGCTCTTATACTAGCACGGTCGTACTACTCCGTAAGCTGAACCTACTAATATGATTCCTTGGAATATGAATATGGATAAATTAACAAGTTGTTAGGGCAGCCTTTATTTAAATATAGTAGTTAGGGCTACCAGGCCATCCTCATAAAAAGGAGAACGCTCCATTTATTGTCACACTATTAAAAATGGCTCAAATTTACCTGATCTCCATTTGGCAGAAAGCTTGCCAAGCCAGAGTCTGAAAGGTGAGGATTCAGCTCGGTGTCTAATAGTATGTTTGCAGACTTTATGTTTTTGTGAATTATAGATGGAGAGCATACTTCATGAAGATACCTGAAACAAGGAGAACAAATGAGAATACAATTTACATGCACAAGAAATATGACCTCATAATTATGGACTAGCATCCTCGGGATTATGAGATCAGATCATATATTTCACTAGGGTCGTCCCCTGACCAGCACAGTAAAAAGCATAAATTAACAGTTCATGTTTTTAAAATGTGATTTTCAGAATAAGTTGTTTGGAACCTTGATTTGAAATGATGAGTTCTTAAAAACAAATGCCAGACGGTATATAATTTTTCGGCAGGGTAGCTGTCTGAAAAACACATTTCAAATTGCAAGTTACCGTCTGAAATACCCATGTCAAGTGTGATGAAGTATTCAATAAATGGTTTACTTGAAATCTTAGCTTTTTAGTCGAGATATCAAGGGCAAATTACTTTAAACTTTTCAGACGATGCACTTTACGTCCAACCAATTCACAGATTTTACAAACAATTTAAGAAACATGAGTTCCCAAAAGTCAAAATAAAATATATTAAACGACACCTAGAATTCTCAGACAAAAGAGGGGAGTGCTGATGCAGGTTAGAGATTTCCTGGAAATGAACTGTGGTCTATTTCATATATTCACAACTAGGGGCCACTCAGGTATGGATATCATCTTATTCTACTATAACCCGGCGGATATACCTACAAGTACAGTTCTTTTGAAGAATGATCCAAACAGTCCCATGGCTATGTTCACAAGAACAGAAGGTAAATGAGATTGTCAACACTGGAAATTTACTCATGCAGTTGCAACTAAACGTTAACATGGATAAAGAAACATAAAAGAGATTGAGTTATCTTGTTTATATACATGCTGTGAACTTACTCTAATCCACGTGCTGTTCCAAGTGCTATCTTGACGCGTGAATTCCATATCAAGGGCTTGCTGTATTCATCTGATAGATGCAGCAAGTCATGTAGTGATCCTTGTCTATGGAATTCATAGACTAGCAGATGCTGTCCATGCTCAGAACAATAGCCCACTAACTCAGTGACATTGGTGTGATGCAAGTCCGAGATCTTTGAAACCACCTCCACAAAATCTTCAGACATTTCACTGGATAGAGCAGCTGAATCTATTTTCTTCACTGCAAGTACCTGAAGTGGTGTTCGAGAAGGCAGACAATAATTACAGATAAAGTTATGGTTGTATCTGAATTAACAACGATAATCATACTATTTCACTGGAGGAATGTGAAAGGCAGAAGTGCATCATCATATTTCCATTTTAAGCTACAAGCCAAAAATGAAAGCAAAAAATAAGAGCCAAAGTGTACCTTTCCATCATCAAAATGAGCTCTATAAACACGCCCAAAAGACCCCTCACCAAGAAGATGTTCCATACTGAAGCTTCCAGTTGCCATTTGGAGGTCCGCTATTGAGTATGTTGCCACACTAACTGGAGCTGCAACACGTTTCCTGATAACATGCTTCTTGACAGATTCATCCTCATCAAATGACTTCGTGCGATCTATAGGAGGGGGCTTCAGGCTCATTGATGGCGGGATATCAAAAGTTTTAGTGTTGATTGAGGATGAACTATGTATGGATTTCATCTCTGCATATATAATTTAATATGTTTTAGCAACCGCGTCTGCAGGATAAGGAAAGAAAACTTGCAAACCTTAAATCTTCTTAAAGGAAAATTAGCAACTAAACATCACAGGGACTTTAACGACAGAATACCAAAGGACTAGCACGTTTTCAAGGATCAGATTCAGATCTGTCTCAAGGTTATCAATGGCTTGACTGGCATCGCAGATGCCAAAATGCCATGGCTGATTGCAGTTAAGATCACCTTGCTAGTAAACTAAGTCACAAGCATATAACTAAGGATGGGCACCGGACTTCTAGATTCACCTATTGCAAGGACTTGAAATTTCAGAATTTCCCTCCGTGGAATTATTACCCCTTTGCAAATAACCGAACAGCATTGCAGTCATATGATAAATACTCTAAACTCCATAGCCAACCAGCAAAGCAGCAAACTAGTAGTGGAACACTTGGAAACACTATCTAGTAGGGAAATAAGAGGGAGACGCAGACCAAAACTTGCCTTCAACTTCATTGCCAGAAAGAGGAGCAAATGGCTCATTATCAAGCTTTTCTACATCTGATGATCTCCTCTTGGATCTTCTTCTCACCAAGAAGAAGGCAACTATTGCACCAACGACCAAGATAGATATAATTATTCCAGCTATACCACCACCACCTATTCCTGATTTTTTGCTGCCACTATCATCAGCACTTGCACCATTTGATGCACCACCACTGCCACCAGACTTATGACGTGGGAGTTTGTGGACTGGAGGTGTCCCAGGTGGTGGAGGAGGAGCAGTTCCCGAATTCCAATTGTTTCCGTCCTTTCTGTCACAAAGATCACTCATGTAAGTTTTTACTTTTTAGCATATCTCAATTTAGGCAATAAATGACAGTTGCAACAAATTTCATGAACATAAATTGCTTACATGATGTTAGTGCTGCTCAACTGTTGTGGAACCCAGCCGGTGAAACGATTGTTTGCAACATTCCTACAAATATGAAGTCAAATGATGAACCAGCTCTTAAGAAATATACATTATCCATTCAAAACTAATAAGCAGGTCACTCACAGGGTTTCAAGAGGAAGACTAGCAAGGACGTCAATGGTGCCTGTGAATTGGTTGTTTTGTAAGTACCTGACAAATGGAAAGAAGGTCAGATGAGGCCGAGGGTGCATCATATGGAGCAAGATCATTTTTCATACTTACATAGATGTCATACTTGGAAGGGAGCCAAAACTCTCTGGCAGATTCCCTGTTAGTTGGTTGGAAGATATATCCCTGTTCGGAACATAGACGAGTAAGTCACATAGGATTATTTTCTCTTATAGAAACAGCAACAAAATTACATCAAATAAAACTGACAGTGATTCTTAGCAAAAAGTTCCAGAATCATATATGTTGATGCTTCCATTTTTATGCAAAATGTTGATGCTTGCATAATAACATTGTGATAGTGACAACTTTCCATAAAAATACAAAGAATGAACTCACATATAAAAGGCACATGAAGGTCATTGAAATTTCTATTTCCAGCAAATGAGAACTAAGGTTCAGTCCTGCCAAGTCAGAAGATCTTACAATGTGGACAAGGAAGGGAGCTTTCCAAACATGTCTCCCAGTTGATTCTGAAGCTGATTATGTGCAAGGTTTCTAGTAGTCCAAAGAAAGTAAGTGTTACTAGTATAACGAATGAAAAAGTGGTCCCTCTGCAAATTAAAATGAACAATATCGGATTACTCACAAGTACTTCAGAGAGGTCATCAGAGAAATGGAATATGGTATTTCTCCAGTGAACTGGTTATTAGCGAGATTCCTGCACAAAGAAAATTATGTGCAATTCCATGAGTGAGATATGATGGAAAAAGCCAAACAATAAAAAATGAACAGGTAACATAAAAATCATACAATCTTTCCAGGTTTGGTGGTAGTTGATAAGGTAGACTGCCTGCGAGATTATTGCTGCTCATGTCTCTGCCAACACCATGTCACAGGTTAAATAGAGAAGAGTCAGGGTAGGGCGGACAGAAGAAGGGGGGAGGCATTCAAAAGGAAACATAACAGAACTGACAGCACATTGCTCTCACAGGTTTTTCAGTGCTTTTAAACTGTCAAGCTGATACCCCATTGACCCCGAGAGTCCAAGACCGGACAATTTGCTGGTAAAACACATCGAACACACATGCAAAATGATCAGTTGCAAAATTAAACTTCTAACGATATAATGTAACAAAGATGAACTGGTGCAGTAGAAGATCACATCTCCGTGACTCGTGAGCCAGAGCACGTAACGCCTTTCCAGTTCTGGCCACAAGGATCATCACCATTTGAGCTCCACTGAGTCAGCTGTCCTGGCGAGTTTAAGGAACCGTACATGACACGTAGAGCAGAAGCTGCAAGGTTGACCAATCAATTAGCAGAGGGAACTCTACTGTTTCAGGAAAAGATTTTATTGTATACAACTGATTGTTCCTCGTTTCATAGTGTAAAGAGTGAAGCAGAATCCTACTAATAATAATGCGTACACAAGCATCTTCATAATGAGGATCTTTCTTGATCATACAATCATTTAAGCAATTGAGACCATGTAATTAACATCTGTTGAGGGACAATGAAGATTAACCATCCACACAAGATCAATATCAAAGGGTATGCAATAAAATAAACTGAATATCTGGACAATAAACCTTTACTAGCCTCAAACATGGGTCATCTGGAAATGTTTAGTTGTCAACGAGCGAGGTAGCTCCAGCAGGAAGAATTCAATATCAGCATCCAGTAACTCGAGACAATCACATGATATACATTGTCATTCACTAATTTGCGAAAACCTATTGACTAACATTTAGGGGGGGGGGGGGGGGAATACAATTTTATTCACTTGCTTTCTCAAAATTGGAAAAACCTATTGACTAAGATGAATATTTTCTTCGATAATCCCCTCCCCAGAGCATCGCCTTAATCTGTTCCCACCACCCCTCATCACAACCAGGGTGTCACCAGAAGTTGGGGTGTACAACTACTTATGAATGAACACATACATGCGCTAGTCACTAACCATTTGACAAGGCTTACTCCTAACAGAATCTAGTAGTTGCAAAATTGGGAAAGAAAAGCTCTATTGTGAATATACGACAAAGATCCCAAGTGCCATTTCCTTGAAATACTGCAAGAAACTCCAGAGTTCTAACCTTCTGGGTCTGAGATTGTAAACTTGCATCATTAGCTAACTCTTCCACCCTTCCAAACTAAACGATCCACAGCCTCTTTCTTAAATGAACCACGGATTCTAAAAATTATATCTTTGGGGGTTCAGAAGCAAAGCTTCCTATGAGGTAGACAAGAAAGGTAGTTGCTTAGTTGATATGATGAGCCAGTCAGTCCTATCCAACAGGAAAACTAACAATTGGAACGAATAAGATCAAGGTCCATAAATCGTATCCTCTGTCAATGTCTGCTAAAAGAAGTTATTTGGGACTTACGGCCCCCGGCTACTAATGCAGATGAGAAATGAGCTAGCTAGTTTTGACATCAGAGCAAGTAACTGAGTCCCAGCAATCCCAGACAACAGAGATGAGTTCCAGTGGCTTCTGTTGTCCTCTTCAAGTAAGCTAATGAACTGGAAAAGAAGGTGCTTCATCTCATTTGGTCCCATCCTAACTAGAACTGTGAACTGATTTTACACAGAGCAACACAAACCACCACTTTGTGTAGCCTAGCTACATCCAAGTTTGGCAAGTCAAAGAAAGCTCCAACGAGAATGTTTGCTCCCAAAGCAAGACTGTAGTAAGTCCAAAGCCAAAGCAATGATGCAAAGGGGAAGCACGGAAATGGAAGAGAAAGAAAACAAAGTGCAGATGAAGAAAGGAAAGGGAAGATCCAAACCAACACATTTGAAGGAAGGAACTTTATCATCATATGAAGAAACAAAAAAGCACCCAGGTAAAAGGAAGCAAGTTAAGATAAGAAGGGGGTGGAGAGAGAAAGAGAGGAAGAAAGAGAAGAATACCATCGGATGGATCTGTGGCAGCAGAGGTGCAACCCAGAATGCAGAAGAATATCAGTACTGGAAACAGCACAATCAGCTGCTCAACCCTTCTCCACCGCCTCTCCTCCATCATTTCTCCCCCGACTCCAAGCTTCTTCCTTCCTTCCTTGCCTTCCTCCCTCCTACCCACAAGCTAAAAGAAGAAAAGAACAAGGCTTTACTGCTCAACTTCCAGCCTTCACTTTATATTTCCCCTTTTTAGATAAAAATAAAGTAAAGAAATTGATAAAGAATAATATAATTTGTGCAGTCACTGTGTCCCTCCGTATGGTGGTGTAAAACAGAACAGAGCCCCCACCTCACCTCATCGCTCCAACCTGATTGATAGGACTTTCTAATTTTTCCTAAAGAAGGATATGATAATATGATTGATTAGGCGACTCCAATGATTTCTTAATTGAATTTCGCTTTCTAAAATAGCTAGCTGTTCTTCATTCCATGATATGCTCTTGTCACCCTCTTCTTGTTCAACGAACGAAACCGAGTGAGTGAAGCTGGCAGGCACGATCAGCTTTAAAGTATCCAAAGCCGCTGATTGAAATTGAATAGGCCAACCTTCTAATACATAATAATTTTTTTTTTGTATATTCCATGTTATTTTAACTTCCAACAAAATATACTTGTTTCAGTTTATTTTACACAAAAGTGCAAATTCCATATTTGTCGTTAGATTACTCGTGTAATTTAGCCACACCACGTGTCTTTTTTAAAAGAAATAAAATGGCTTTGTGTTGTCGGATCTGTTTAGAGCTTATTCTTTTCACCTTGTTTCCTCATGAAGTTAAAGTCATGATTTTTGAAATCATATTTGCAAAATCGTATAGGTCAAGAAAAAATCAGTGATATGGTATTTTAATGATACAATTGATAGCAAATTTATACAATATTTTGTTTCAACAAAACAATTTAAAATATTCAATTAGTATTATATGGTGAAATATACCAAAAAAAACAACTAGTAAATTAAAAATTTGTCAATTTAACTGCGCATAATCGGCTGAAATGATATTTTCATAACATTTACCTATCGAAATGTATGGTTAACACCTGATGGTTACCATATTTGGTGGATTCGATCCACCCTTTAAATCTATATTTAGTGGTTTCATGGATTGACTTGTCCTAGGTGTATAAAAAATATTCTTTTCGCTAAGCGTATATAATAAAATAGAGTGAAAGAGTCCATCCCCGATCTCGATCAAAGCAGGCATATGCCAAACGTGAATACCCCCCGAAGCCACGGGCAGGACACCTGGTAGGGAGACCCAATCGTCGAGTTAAATAAATACCATGGCTTCGATCTTTTTCAATAAAATCATCACGCAGTAAATCAACAAAGCCCAAAAAGCTTACTAATAAAGCGACAACACCTTCTTTCTCAAAGTCGACGTTTCACGCTTGTTACTTTAGAAAGATTGCAGGGGCGCAGTTGCTCGATTGAAAAGTGAAGACGCAGAACTTCCCTTTTGGCTTTCTTCCCCTAGGAAATTGGACTCTGACTGAGTGTGAATGACCGACTTGACATTCTCTTCGTTGGCAAATTATGATTTAGTACCTATTCGTTGGCAAATTATAATTTAGTACCTATATTTTCCGTATTTTCCTCCAAATGTCAAGTCCCCCGTTCTTACTAAAAACAGATTTGGAATGTGTATTCCTGGATAACTCATTGGCTTCACTCACCGACGGGGGAAGCTACATTGTCCCTTTTCCACACTCACCAGCTACGAACCTTTTCTGAGAAATGTGCAAAACACAAAACTATATATCAAAATAATTCAATGCCCTACTATATCGACAAACACACGCAAAGAACCTTCTCTCTACCAAATCATTTTACACTTATCATCGCCCCCCAAACCAAAACCATACCAAATCAGGCAGCAACAATTTCAGTTCTCCAAAAATTTGATCTTCTCCAGATGGTTTTGCATGCGTTGACTATCATCAGCAGACAAACTCTCTCCAGCCATGAGCTTGTAGTACTGCTCAAACTTCTTCTCATCACACTTCAAAGCAGCTGCTCTACAAGCCCTTATGCTTCCTGTATCGTAGTAAAAGGGAAAGAAGGGGGGAATATGAAGAAGGTAAAATATGAGATGGGCGACATTTTAAATCCCCAAGTAAAGATAGATGCAAACAACGAATCTAAAAAGTCCTTTTGTTTATATCAGTAACTCAAATGAACAACAGTTGCTACAAAATTCCATGAAATAGCAAACCATTATTGCAAGCAAAATGAGCGCAGAACTCCATGGTTAGCAGAGGACAATGTGTGAGAACACAACTCATCAGCGTTACTCAAGACAAATCGGTTTCAGTAAAGTCTGCTTACCACTAAGGTCCAGTAGGTTGAAAAATGCAGGGCAATTCCCAATCTTCCGCACCATGGTAATAGCTGACCAAACTTTTTGGTGGTTCTCTCTAGAAACTCTGATTATGCACATCTTTGTAATGGGGTTCACATACTTGACTGCAGTGAAAAACATATCCAGGAAGATGAAGAAGAACAATTTCATAAGTAGGCACAAAACATGAAGTTGGAAAGTAACCTGCAACATACCTTGCAGTGAACCAAGTGACCAAGCCAAGAAACATTCACCAAAGTTTGGAAGAATGCTATCTTTAATCGCTTTCATCAAATTGAACGGCGTAATGATGATAGAATCATCGCCTTTGACGTCTCGATTTGGGTCCAAGAAAACCTCCATCACCATGTATCTATTCCTGAAACTAGGGATGATAATTTCGACCTGAACCGTTTTACTCGACCTGTTTTGGGTCGGGTCCGACCCGCCCCATAGACGGGGCGGGGCGGGCATGGGTAGTCTCATCGATCCGACCTGCCCTGACCCACCCCATTCTCGACCTTTCTTGTCTAAATTACATGAAATCTTAGTCAAATTACTTTGAATTTTACTTTTATCGCATCATATTTTAGCTATAATAAAGTTGTAAATTAGCGGAAACCTCAATTTCTCCAATAATTTAACTACAATTGTCATAATATTGTTTATTTTCTTAGTTTTATAATAAAAATAACAAATATTTCTAATGTTTTTCAAATATATTGCAAATCCATTGGGTCGACTTGCCCCCACCAGCGACCAGTGATCAAATACCCGACCTGGACCCGCCATGCCACGAGGCGGATCTGGGTACCAAGAAACCCGCCCCGGACCTGCCCATTGCCATTCCTACTTGAAACCCACCATTATCCTCAACCTAAGATGCAAGTTAACAGAGTTTCTGCAAACGGCAGGAAACCAATGTGGCCGCCACCTTGATTATTCTTTTACCATCGACGACGAGCAAGGACGGTGGTGGGCGGTGGCGTGGCGGCACCGCGGGAGAAAGTGGCGCGCGAGTTAATGGCGACGGCGGTGGCGATTGGAGAGTAGTAAGAGTTTCTTGAGGCGAAAAGTGGTGGGGATCTTTTCACAGAAGCCTAACCCAAAACAGAAAGATCCAAAAAAGCCCAATTAAACCAAAAAGCCATCTTCTGATCCAAACTAGAGCAAATCACCGAGCCCAGCCCAGCCCAGAAGAGGTCATCGCTTTAGCCCATCCGTCCCCAAGTATAACTCTCTCGACTCTCCCGACTTGTTTTCTCTTGGAATTAACTCTTGCTCGCACGAGCTCTAACAATGGAGTTACTGTCCCTCTCGTCTCCTCCGATCCCGCACCAAACGCAAACAGTATCCTCCTGCTTCAATCGCGAAGGAGTGGCATCCTTCTCCTCGTTCCCTTCTAAACCGGCCGCCGCCATTACCGCTCTTCATTGCTCATCCTCTTATCCCAAAACCTCTGTTAACCCCTCCTTCAACACCAATGCCTCCTTCCTCGCCTCTTCCCTCACCGCCAACTCCCCCCAGTCTCCCGCCACTGCCATGAGGGGAGCAGAGGCTGACGCCATGGGCCTGCTGCTCAGGGAGAGGATTGTGTTCCTCGGCAACGAAATCAACGACTTTGTCGCCGATGCCATCATCAGTCAGTTGCTCCTCCTTGATGCTCAGGATCCCACCAAAGACATTCGTCTCTTCATCAATTCTCCAGGAGGATCTCTCAGGTAATTTGATTCAATCCACGACTACGCTCAATTCTCCCTGATCTCCAGTTTTTGGAACAGTAATTAAATTCACACCTTGCTGCATGCCAAAGCTTTCTGTTCCGCTCCATGACTTGAAGATGGGGCGGTATAATGGTTGTGGCTTATGTTATGTCTGATGATTTCCTCTATCGTCTATTTTCAGTTTGGTTTATTGGCTAAAGGTGAGGTTTTGGACCAAATATTTGGCCGACATTTATGTTTCTGGAGGATATCATGTGTTGAGGTTGGAGTGTTGAGCAATGTGCTCGAGTTTTGGCTCAATCCCTCCATGCGGCGTGTGGATTATGAACTGCCAGAACAGTGTAATGAGTGGGTTATGGTCGCTGCTGAGTGCTGATTGAGTCTGTGCTTCTTCTCCTCGGAACTTTCCTGCGCCTTCTTCTTGATGTTTGATAAATTTGATATAGGACTAGAGCAAGCTTTGTGCAAATAAACATTCTACATTTTGAAGTTCTCTTTTCCCCCGTCTTTGGTTTGGTGACTTTCATAATTACCCAGATAACCTTCTTTTAGACTATTGAATACCGCTTACCATGATGGTAAAGATCTATTGTGCTTGCATAATAGTGTGCATTCTTGTCTTAGGCTTATCTTCCTGGCTCTTATTGGGAAATTTTACTCACAATAGATGCAGTGACTGTAGTTTACCGTTGACTTGTCTCATGGTAGACTTAATGTCACAAGGAATGGGCTGCTTCACTGTGTCAAATCCCTGTGTAGAATGTTGTTGAAAAAATGCTTAGGTATAAATATAAGATATCCTCCTGTTTGTGAATGTCTTTTAGGTATTACAGCAGGACTTCTCCCATTTGTTTAGGTGTCTTTAACCCTCTTAAAGGGTCTCTACTTCAATGGATTAGGCTTTTTCCCCTTTCTGGATGTTAGGCTCTATGTCACATTGGGTACTGATAGCTTGAGTTTTTGTGTACAAGGTATATCCATTGCCGGACCATTCCTAACAGTTAACTTGTCTGTATCAATATTAGTTTACTTTCTCCATCTTAACGATATTCCTAATTAATGTGGCCAGAAAATCCATACTGGATGATTGGTATTTGAACATGAGCCCTTGTTTTCTACTCTAGTATCTCTCATTTGTATGGTGAAAAGAATAGCGTTGAGTTATTACCAATTTTGTCCATCGAAATGACTGATTACTGATTTGTCCACTCTCGTATTCCTGTACAACATGTCTACGATCAAACGTTGACTTGCATATTTGAATTATCACCCTCAAATCATAATCAAACAGTTTTTGTTTATGCATGATGATGGATTATGCTTAGCAAAACAGCTGTTAGCATGCCATTCTCTTGGTCTTCTCTGATCGGCTCATGAATCAATTTGTGCAGTGCGACAATGGCCATCTATGACGTTGTGCAACTTGTTAGGGCTGACATTTCCACTGTTGCCCTCGGCATGGCAGCATCAACAGCTTCCATCATCCTTGGTGGTGGCACGAAAGGAAAGCGCTTGGCAATGCCCAACACACGGATAATGATTCATCAACCACTTGGAGGTGCTAGTGGACAAGCAATAGATGTGGAGATTCAAGCAAGGGAAATCATGCACAACAAGAAGAACATTGTGAGCCTCATTTCAAGCTGGTGTGGTCGGACGGTCGAGCAGGTGGAGAAAGATATTGATAGGGACCGGTACATGTCTCCAATTGAGGCAGTTGAATACGGAATAATCGATGGTGTGATTGATAGGGATACCATCATTCCTCTACTTCCCGTTCCAGATAGGGTTACGCCTACCCTGAATTACGAGGACATGCGAAAAGATCCAATGAAGTTCCTGAATCCAGATGTGCCTGATGATGAGATTTACTAGATAGCAGCAGCAGCAGCATTTCTTCTTCTGTTGAAGGTACGTGCAATACCACTTCTCGTGTCCCTTAATCAGTCTTTCATGTTTCCTGAAGCTGGTCTACTTCCTTCCTCTGTTGTTCTGGTTAGGCTCCTGAGCTGTGAAGTCTTCTTTCTCCAGGAGGCAGCACTGCGTGCTATTCTACAGTTTAAAGTGTCTCCAAAAGTGAAACTAGGGAATGGCAGTAACCAAAACGGAGGCCATCTCCCTGTCTTTGGAGATTGTAATGTCTTTGTCTGTAACATTTGGTATACTTTAGGAGGAATTTCTGCTGTGATGAGATACCAATGAATGAGAAAGACGATGAAAGAATGATCGCGTTATGCATAGGGGTGTAAATTGAGGTGGGTGTAGTTACCGACCCATATTTTGCGGGTACCCACACCTACAAATTTACAATTATGCTACCCACACTTCGCACTGCAGTGGTTAGTGGATAACCACTATCCACTGCGGGTTGGGTGTGGTTATCCGCAAATATCAATCTTTGCAAGTATGGAGTTGAGACCGCCACTCGTGAGGAAAAAAAAAAAAAAAAAGTTGAGACCGCCACTAACGTATTTGTAGTTCGTATCTAGACTATAGCAATATAGTGATATATACAATTGTGTTGCGTGGAGAGTGGAGATACAATATTGTATATTGATCTTGCTCAACATAGATATTTTTTCATTTTGAGTTTTGTATTCAACTTTTGTGTCAATGAACTATGATTTCATATTTCACCGGCTAGGGGTGGATTATGACAATTAAATATGATCTTGTATTTTTTTTCACACAAAAGCAAAAACATACATATAAAATTTACTAAAGGTGTCCATTTTTAATGAATTGATTCTCCAATCTCTCGATTATAGTGTCTAATAAACTAAAAAATTCTCACATAAAACTGCTTAGGTGTGTATTTGATTTTGGTGGCTACTTTAATTTTTATCCTCAAATTTGCACACCAAACATAGCGTTTAGTTCTGGGTTCCTGCAAATTTGCTAGGAAAACAAAGATAAAAGTATGTTATGGGCCTCAACCTCCCCGCCCATTGCCACCACCATACTCTCGAATAAAGATAAAAGTGTGCTTATGGGCCTTAACCTCCCCGCCATGCCACCACCATACTCTCGACAGGGTGGTGGTGGTGGAACCCGATTATTTGGTCGCCGAGGCGGTGAAACACAAACACTTTCCCTCCTTTAAAGAAAACAAAAGAATTTCTTTCTGTCTTGGAAAACAGAACGAGCCCTCATCTTGTTCACGGTCCAGTAGACAATTGAGAATGGGAAGAGAGAGACAGAAAGAAGCAACGAGACAAAAATGATTGATCTTGAAATCTCTTAGAAAGGAACACTTCTCCCTTCTTCTTCTTCCACACTCGCCACCCACCATTTTCAGCTGCTTAGCTTGCTGGTTACCGGTGAGCTAAGAAACCAACACCAACACGCTTGGAGAAGAAAATTATCAGCAAAACTTATCCCCAGCAAGAAGTTGTCACTCACTGGAGTAGTCACAGAGAGTGTTGAGGAGCTCAGTATTATCAGCAGGCAAGAACGGTAAGTCACTACTACTGGGTTTTTTTTTTTTTTTTTTAATAATCCTCCACTTGCCATGAACGAAATTGATGATATGTTGAAGCTGTGTAGTGAAAGTGAAGTCCTTTATTTCCTTATATAGCGAATTAAGTTATCCCAGAGCTCAGTTGGCAAATCTGGCATTTACCAACTCATGCTTTCTCTTACAGCTTCTTTCCTGTACGTGTAACCAAGCTCAGATTCTTCTTGATGTTTACTCTGGTTCTCAGCTTTGCAGTATAAATATTTCATATGTTTTCTTCTATGCTCCATACCGATTGGATTCTATAGATTGATTTTCTTGCTTTCGAACTCTTGTGTAAAAGAGGATGGGATATGCCTGATTCCATTGGATTCCCTGCAACTCTCTCACTGTCCTATTTTGTTTCCAGTTCAGGGAAAGATGTCTACTTCAAGACCTAGTCAAGCCTCCAGCAACTCTGGGAGAGCAAGGCACAGCGCTAGAGTTATTGCTCAGACCACGGTGGATGCAAAGCTTCATGCGGACTTTGAGGAGTCGGGCAGTTCTTTTGACTACTCGAGCTCAATGAGAGTAACCAGTTCCCTCCCTGGACGTCAACAACCTAGGTCCGACAAAGTAACCACGGCTTATCTTCATCATATCCAGAAGGGCAAGGTGATCCAGCCTTTCGGCTGCTTGCTAGCACTGGACGAGAAGTCGCTGAAAGTGATTGCATACAGCGAGAATGCTCCGGAAATGCTGACGATGGTTAATCATGCAGTACCAAGTGTGGGAGACCATCCATTTCTGGGCATTGGAACTGATTTGAGGACTATCTTCACAGCACCTAGTGCCACTGCCTTGCTTAAGGCCCTTGGATTTGGGGATGTTGCTCTGCTGAATCCCATCTTAGTTCATTGCAAGACTTCAGGGAAGCCTTTTTATGCTATCGTCCATCGGGTAACTGGTAGCTTGATAATTGACTTCGAACCTGTGAAGCCTTATGAGGTGACTACGTCAACGAAGGGTGCGCTGCAATCGTACATGCTTGCTGCTAAAGCAATAACTCGGTTGCAATCATTACCTAGCGGGAGCATGGAAAGACTTTGCGACACCATGGTTCAGGAGGTGTTTGAGCTTACCGGATATGATAGGGTGATGGCTTACAAATTCCATGATGATGATCATGGGGAAGTTGTCTCTGAGCTCACAAAGCCCGGATTGGAGCCGTACTTGGGTTTGCATTATCCAGCAACTGATATTCCACAGGCAGCACGATTCCTGTTTATGAAAAATAAGGTTAGGATGATTGTTGATTGCCGTGCAAAGCACATCAAGGTACTTCAAGATGATGAACTTCCATTTGATCTGACCTTATGTGGTTCTACCCTGAGGGCCCCTCACACTTGTCACTTACAGTACATGGAAAACATGGACTCTATTGCTTCGTTGGTTATGGCTGTCATTGTGAATGAGGGGGATGATGATAGTGACATTACTAGCTCTGAACAGCCCCAGAAGCGAAAAAGGCTTTGGGGTTTAGTTGTATGTCATAATACTAGCCCGCGGTTTGTTCCATTCCCTCTTAGGAGTGCTTGTGAGTTTCTAGCTCAAGTATTTGCTATCCATGTGAATAAAGAGCTAGAGTTAGAAAATCAGATGGTGGAAAAGAATATCCTTCGTACTCAGACACTATTATGTGATATGTTGATGCGTGATGCACCGTTAGGTATTGTAACACAGAGTCCAAACATTATGGATCTAGTGAAATGTGATGGTGCTGCACTATTTTACAAGAACAAGGTGTGGAGGTTGGGTGCAACACCTAGCGATTTCCAGATACAAGATATTACTCGCTGGCTCTCCGAGTACCATATGGATTCCACTGGTCTGAGTACGGATAGCTTGTATGATGCAGGTTACCCAGGAGCTTTGGCTCTTGGTGATGTGGTTTGTGGAATGGCAGCTGTGAGAATAACTTCTGGTGACCTTCTATTTTGGTTCCGTGCTCAAACTGCATCTGAAGTTCGATGGGGTGGTGCAAAGCATGAACCTGGAGAGGAAGATGACGGAAGGAAAATGCACCCAAGATCTTCTTTCAAGGCATTCCTTGAAGTTGTCAAGACAAGGAGCTTGCCTTGGAAGGACAATGAAATGGATGCCATCCATTCTCTGCAGCTTATATTAAGAAATGCATTCAAGGATGGCGAGGCCTTAGATGTGGATACAAGAATGATTCACACAAGGCTTAGTGACCTAAAAATTGACGGGATGCAAGAACTAGAAGCATTGACCGGTGAGATGGTCCGTTTGATCGAAACAGCTACAGTGCCAATCTTAGCAGTTGATGTTGAAGGTCTTGTCAATGGGTGGAATTCCAAAATTGCCGAGTTAACTGGTCTTAATATTGATGAAGCAATAGGAAAACATTTGTTGACCCTTGTGGAAGATTCTTCAATAGACTCAGTGGAGCAGATGCTATCTTCCGCATTGCAAGGTATGTCATTTCTCAGTGATATGTTACTTTATACCTTCGCATAGCACGGTATCCTTTGTCAATCATCTTAGTTTATACTTTGATCATTAGACTTCAAGTATTGCACGTAAAGGAGCTAACAGTTGAGATTCTAGTATAGGAGTGTGCTGAACTACACACACTTGTAAGTGTTAAGTTGGGCTGCCCTGTGAAAATGCTTTATTTCTTGTGTTTCTTACTACAAGAAATATGTTATCCTCTGCTGTTTATGATATTTATTTGCAACTAGATCTTTACTTTCTCTGGCTTCTTCTCTGTTTTCAGGTAGAGAGGAGCAAAATGTCGAATTCGAGATAAAAACTCATGGTTCCAGGAGTGACTTTGGTCCCATTAGATTAGTTGTGAACGCTTGTGCAAGTCGAGACCTTCAAGAGAATGTTGTAGGGGTCTGCTTTGTGGCTCAAGATATCACTGGGCATAAAATCGTTATGGACAAATTCACCCGTATAGAAGGTGATTACAAAGCAATTGTACAGAATCCAAATCCATTGATCCCTCCAATATTTGGAATTGATGAATTTGGCTGGTGCTCCGAGTGGAATACAGCCATGATGAAGCTCACTGGTTGGAAGCGAGAAGAGGTACTGGATAAAATGCTGTTAGGGGAGGTGTTTGGGACCAATGTGGCATGTTGTCGTCTCAAAAACAAAGAAGTGTTTGTTAATTTGGGCGTTGTACTAAATAGTGCAATGACCGGCCAAGAACCTGAGAAACTGTCCTTTGGTTTCTTTTCACGGAAAGGAAAGTATGTCGACTGCTTGTTGTGTGTCAGCAAAAAGTTGGACCAAGAGGGTGCAGTGAATGGAGTGTTCTGCTTCCTGCAGCTAGCTAGCCAAGAGCTGCAACAAGCGCTTCATGTTCAGAGGTTGTCAGAGCAAACTGCACAAAAGAGGTTGAAAACATTGGCTTACATAAAAAGGCAGGTTAGAAATCCTCTGTCTGGAATGATATTTTCCCGGAAAATGATGGAGAGCACCGAGCTGAGAGCAGAACAGAAGCAGCTTCTGCATACCAGTGCACAATGCCAACGTCAGCTTAGTAGGATCATTGAAGACTCAGATCTCGATAGCATCATTGAAGGGTACGAATATTGCTTAGTCTCACTCTTTCCTATTTATTTTGTTCACTTCATCATTTTGTACTCCATGTTCACTAACTAAATGGGTTCAGGAATTTATTTACTTTTTGATAATTAAAGGGGATTCAGGATGTTAACCTGGTAGAACATTTGATTTTACTCCCTTTTTTGGCTACAGCCCACGACCTTTGTTCGTAAAGCAAATCTGGTTTCGTTCCTATAGACTGAAGGGATAGAGAGATCAATGGCATCCAGTACCAATTGGAGTTGTTATTTTTCTTTTTGCTTTACAAATAGATGATTCTGATGATTGCTGACAGGTGCTCGGATCTGGAAATGGTTGAGTTCACTCTGCATGAAGTACTGGTTGCCTCTATCAGTCAAGTTATGATGAAGTGCAACGGGAAGGGTATTCAAATAGTTAACGATGTAGCAGAAGACATCATGGATGAGACCTTATACGGAGATAGCATTCGGCTTCAGCAGGTGTTGGCAGAGTTCTTGCTGATATCGGTAAACTTCATGCCAACGGGCGGACAGCTTACTGTAGCAGCTAACTTGAGCAAGGACCAGTTAGGGCAGTCTGTACATCTCGTGAATTTGGAGCTAAGGTGTGTTCTTGTAACCAATTCATATCTTTGATCTTTGTGAATATATTTGATGGGTTTTTCTTGGAATGGTTGATGCTCTACTGGTATATGTTAGTATTGCATGCACGAATGACGTATGCCTGAAGAAAGGAGCTCATTGTTTTCCATTTCCCATGGTATCCTGCTACAATCTGCCTGCCACATCATCATCATCATCATCATCTACTTGTGTGTTCCTTGCAGGATAATGCATGGCGGTTCTGGGGTACCTGAAGGAGTATTGAGCCAAATGTTTGACGTGGATGGCGATACCTCAGAGGAGGAGGAGGGTGTCAGCTTGCTGATTAGCCGGAAGCTGGTGAAGCTCATGAATGGAGATGTGAAGTACCTAAGGGAGGCTGGGAAGTCGAGTTTCATAATCTCGGTTGAACTCGCCACTGTCGCAACTCCTGAACCCTAAATGCTTCCCTGCCTTCTTCTTTTGTAACGAGTATGTAACTCAAAAGGGAGTCCTTTGGTGCAGGGTATGTGCGGATAAACCTTGAGAGTGGCGAGGTTGGATGGTGTTGCTGTGAACAAACCTTTGTTGTTGTTGTTGTTGTTGTCCCCGTTGTTGTTATGGTGTTAGTAGAGGTGTGTTGTGGCAATAATACCAGGAACACTGCAGTTTCCATCACCAGCGATTTGTTCTTCCCATTTCTAAACTCTTGTCTGTCAACCCTAGTCTTTGCAATTCGGCCTGTTAGCTCTCTTCTTTATTGCTCCTACCAACGAGCTAGGCAAGAAGAGCATTGGAAACGTTGGATGGGTAAAAGTTAATGTGGATGGAAGCAAGCAAGCAAGATGAACCATTGTTGTCAGCAGTTACAGAATCACAAAGATGGATACCCTTCCTCATTATCCTCATTATCGACAAATAAAAAGTTTCATATTTAAGATGTCTTGTTCTCATTATCAATTAACATTGTCTAGGCAAAGCTAATTAAGTTGTGGATGCATTGGCGAGAAGGAGACACAAGAGGATATGGTTGCAGATTTATCAGAGAGATAATTGTGATTTATAGTTACTAGATCTTGTTCTGTACTGGATACATTTCATATTCATTAACAGACAATTAAATATTTGCAGTTGTCCACATAACTCGAAACTGGAACCTGGATTTGTAAACTAACAATAATGAGGTACAATATTTAGTCTAAAACTATATGTTTTAGTGGGTATGATGTTTTTTTTAGAATGAATTTGAAGTTAAAAAGAATGGAAGAGTAAAGATAATGTTATCTGTAAGGTGTTATCTTTGACGTTATAAATTCTCACAAAATACTTGTCATAACATGGTACCCTTTCTAAAGCTTAAAACAAGTTTAAGCTCTTCACTTATTCCAATCTGTTTGAACCTAACTGAGTGTAGGAGTGAGGTTCGGGTGAGAGTTTGGGTCAAGAAGAAACGCAAGCGTCGAGTTTGATCAGGGAGATCAGAATTAGAGAGTTGAGCGAGGACCGGAGTCCGAACTTTTAGAAAGAGAAATGATTGTTATAGAGAGAGAATGGTCAAAAAATGCGATCCCCACACCCACCGTAGTAAATGCCGTATTTATAGGCTTCGTTGTGGTGGGTGAGTGGTTGACCCAAGTGGGGATACAAGATGTGACAATTGGGATACAATGATGTGACCACTGGCACATACTAAGGATTTTAGACCCTGTCCAGGCCATCCCCCTACCTAGGACGTGTCAGAGATTTGCCACTGGCCTTGATGTGACCACTTTCTGGGGAGGAAAGCTACGCCTCCCTCCTCTCTTGGCTTTGCCTGCGCTACGCTCTTCCTCGGCGCCTGTAACTCACACCGCGCATAAACTCTTCGCGCCAGGACGTAGTTGACTACGATGAGGTGTCGCGCTCGGGGTCTTCGCGCTGCTATGTCGGGGTCCATCCAGTTGCGTCCGTTCCTTGGCGCGGCCAGGCCCGAGTCACATGCCCAACAATTGCCCCCCATCAGGGGGTGTTTTGCGAACACCTCCTGTTTGGATTTTTTCCTGAATGGCTCGGGCCTGTGTGGTCTCCGTGATGCTGGTTTTTTTGGGTCTATTCCGCTCGTCGCGATCGGTTGGCTCCCGCGCATGCTCGCGTTTAGGTTTTTCGGCGCGCGATGTTATGAAACAGTGACGCGTTTGCTGGCGCGCGCCCGCGATTGGGCTCCTCACCGCGCTTAAAATAGGGCTTGGCTCGTCGCGCGATGTGTGGGGTGATTATGGGTACTCCGCGCGCTCGCGCGTCGCGTGATACCCGGTACTGCGCGAAGCATGTTTTTCTTTCCTCGCGGGTATATCTTGCCCCCCAGGCGATGTGTGGGGCGATTATGGGTACTCCGCGCGCTCGCGCGTCGCGAGATTCCCGGTACTGCGCGAAGCATGTTTTTCTTTCCTCGCGGGTATATCTTGCCCCCCAGGCGGTGCGCGGCACTCGTGGCGTCGCCGACTAGTGCCTATGTTGGTAGGTATCCACGTGTCATTGTGTGGTTAGGTTGTTTGGGCGGGGATTTTTGAATTTCGAAAAGATTTGGTAGGATCTGACGGTTACGGATCCCTATGTTGCTTTAACCCTTCGCCTTCCGCTGGCCGACATTGGCCCCTTGCCTTCCCATTGGCCCTTTATTTTCCCTCCGACCCACTATAAGAATGGGTTGTTGTGAGAAGTAAGGACTCATCTGTTTTCTCTGATTACTGTTTCCCTCTGCTTTCACTGAGATTTGCTTCCTCTGAGATTTTTTCTCCTCCTTCTGCAACCTCGATCCTTCTCAGCTGTTGCCAAGTTTCGAGTCGACATCATGTCCGGCGTCAACAACAACAACGAGGCCGAGGTCGTGCAAGGCGAAGAAGGTAATTTCTCCCCTCTCTCGCACACTTCTTCTGACCGTTCCGGTGACGGGGACGGTGGTTCTGGGGGTTGGGATGACGGGTCCGACGGCGGACGTGACGGTGGCGACGGTGGGATCCCGGCGACGCCGTCATACGATGCTAGGTCCGGCGACGGTGTCGGAAGCTCCTCCGACGTGGGTGATATTCCCTCCGGCAGTGGGGAAGCCATGCAGCAGGCTCGGGGAGTGATGATCATCCGGCGTAATCCGGGTGGTCGACCGGTAGGGGCCGATGAAGTCATCGACGATGAGGTCACCGACGATGAGGACGCGGATGAGATGGCGCAAGGAGATATTGATGCGCAATTCGCGCCGCGCGCCATTGAGCGCGTTTCCGAAGCATTTGCCCGTCTGGGGCCGCAAGGCGTCGGCGCGACCTACCGTGTGATCGAGTGGGCCGAGATGTGGGGCGATCAGCCGGCGCCCTCGGACAACCTTAAGCGCGGACCCGAGCACTCCTCAACATACGACGTAGACGACGTGGAGGAGTTGGTCCGCGGCCTGGGCTTGCCCCCCCATTGGGAGTACGCTGCCCCGTCGGTGCGTAGCATGGTGGGCAACTGCCCCCCTGGTTGGTTCGGCGTGTACACGGAATACTGGGTGATGGGGTTCAAGTTCCCCATCGATCCGCTGTTGTGCGCGATCTATGAGCGCCTCAAGTGTTCCGTCGGGCGGCTCTCTCCTTCAGTCATCATGCACGCGAGCTGCCTCCGTCTCGCGTGCAAAAGGCTCAACATCGAGCCTACGTATGGCTTGTTCAGGAAGCTGTACAAAATCAAGGAGCCCACCAGGGTGAGCGACTGTCTTTCCATCCAGCGGCGCGACCACCGCCCCGAGGGTTTTGTGTATGGCTCGCCCAAGCTGAAGAAAACCTGGTTCGAGCAATTCTTCTATGTTAAGCCTACCCCCGGGCAATGGGCCAGCGGGACCATGGCGGAGCCCACCTCCTGGGAGAAGGGCAGTACGCATGGGTTCGAGTCGGACGTCGGGTTCTACGTCGGGCTGAACGACGAATATGAGGCTTGCATGCCTCATCGCATCAATTTATACGCCAAGGGAGTCCGCGAGGCCTGCTTGGAGGAGCTGTTTGGGGATGGTTAGTTATATTTTCTTTCCTTTGTATTCTATCTTATTAACCGCTCTCTTACGACTTATTGGCGCAGGTGTTGATTTCTCCAATATCGCCAGTATGATGTCGGTGGATGACGTCGCGCCCCGCGCTGACAAGAAGAAGAAGAAGAAGAATGTCGCGGCGCCTAAAGTTCCGAAGCGGAAGGATATCGAGCAGCCGGGCGCGCAGGCTGTCGAGAGGCCCCGCAAGACGATTCGCATCGCGGAGCCGACTCCTCTGGCGGTGAAGCAGACGCCTGCCGCGGTGAGGTAGACGCCTGCCACGCAGCAGCTGACCGCCGCACAGCAGCTGTCCTTAGCGTTGTCGCAGCCGGAGGCAACGGTGACCAGACCCGCTCGTCGGGATGGGAGCGGAGCGAGCAGCTCCTCCGGGGCAACCACCACTGCTGCCCCCGCTAGCGCTACTCCCACTACCGCCGCCGTCCACCAAGTTCGTGACGTGCGGATTCATACGGCGGCGGCGTGCAACCTGGTTTCCGCCAACCATGCGCTCCGGGCGATCGGGCCCGTTCTCACCGTTCCTCCGCGGGTGAAGGAGACAGACCCCCTCCATGATCTGGCGCAGATCCACTTCGCGGTAAGCCCTAGTTAGATCTCCGTAGTTTAGGTTTTTACCTTCCTCTCTTCTCTTCCGTTTTCCTTTTTATTGCCATCGCATTTGGCTAAGGCTCGTGGCGTTGTAGGGTCTGTCGGCGACATTCCGAGCTCAGCAAGAGCGCGCCGCGATGCGCGCAAAGATGAAGGCGGACGAGGCGCAGATCGTCCAGCTGGAGGGGAAGGTGCTGGGGGCAAACAACCGGGCTGAAGACGCGACATCCAAAGCCAATGAGGCGTTGGAGTCGCTCGGCCTCTTGCAAAGCCGGTTGGCCGCGGATGTGGAAGCGGCCAAAGAGAAGGTGCGGAACGAAGAGCGCTCCGCCCTCCGGGAAGAATTGGAAGCCTCCTTCTCTGAGAAGTTGCGCAAGGCTCGCGAGGACTTCCAGAAGGAGAAGGACGACCTGGTCCGCCTTCATACCGTCGCGAAGGCTGAAGCCGTTCGCGCAGCCGAGGTCGCGGCTATCCGCCAGTTCAAGTCTTCCCAACCTTTCGGGAAGATCATGGCGGATGCCATGACCAAGGCCGTGATAGCGGTCGGCAAGAAGGTTCGCCCCGAGAATCCAGGGATGCAGTGGGATACTCGCGACATGGTCCAGCACGTCAAGTCCTGGATCAGCGGGAACCGTCCTTTGGATTCCGACTCCGAATCCGAGGAAGAGGAGGAAGAGGAGGAGGAAGAGGGGGAGCGCCGGGAGGAGGTAGATCGTCCGGCCGGGGAGGAGGTTACTGGCGCCAGGAGGGATGGCGAGGTGGCCGATGAAGACGAGGATGAGGAAGAGGAGAGCCCCTTGGTGCGTCGCAAGTCAAGCAAGGAGGACGAGCAGCCCAACGCTGGCTCTGCTTAAGTGTCGCCCAGTTTTTCCTTAGCTGTTGTCATTGTTTATCCATGTGTAATTGCGAACAAGATTACTGCTGCTTCTATGATTATGCCAAGTGACCCTCGATTGTGATTGCTCCTTTCTCTCTTTGCTCTTTAACTATTTGCTTGACAATTTTGCGTGCGGGGATGGGCATTTGTTTC